TCACGACTTCCGCCCAAAGTCTTCGGCATGACTCAAGGCGCCTCTCCCGCAAAAAGGCCAGCCGTGGCAAGCGGAGGTTTGAAAGAGTAATATAGCAGGCCTTGCGGTATCTTTTGTTGTCTAACACTTCACCCTGAAGGAAACCCGCTACCGCAAAAGGGACCTTGGGCCATTTGGGGAAACCACCAGAAATGGGAGCGGCCCGTGTTCAAAATGTGGGTGCCTCAGAGCAGCCCTGGTTTAACCACAAAGGCGAAGTAGAGCTGGACGCTCGCCGTGAAGCGTGGCTTCGGAGCTTAACTGGGTCATAGCAATGGTTACAAGTAGGGAAACTGGGGTTGGTGGCCGCGTAGCCATGGTAAAAAAGCGGAGCAACCCACAACATCCACGTTGCATTTGGGTGTATCCCAAAAATGATGGTTTCCTTCGGGTGTCCCTTAAAAGCAACCAGAAAGGGGCAACCTCAAGAAAACATACACGCAAAACCAACCCGCCAGGCCAAAGCTCCTCCGGGCGAAAGAGGTGAACACTCACCTCACACAAACTCAGCGAGAGGTGCGGCTTCTTGGACACCTTTGCCCATCCAGTGGCCAGGTGAAAATGGAGCAGATCAAAGCCCCACGTTCCTTGCTCCATATGAAGAGACATCTTTGCGGTGCCAGTTCAGGCAGGGCAGGGGACAAACAATCAGTCAAACGACAGGAGTCAACGTGGATGTCTGCACCGTAGGTGACGGATGAATCCAACCTGATGAATCGATCCTGGTTTTGCAGGGATCCTTGCATTATACGCCTGAACATTGCCTTGGTAAATGGTGGTTTCTCTTTATTTTCGTGGAAACAGCCATGTTTCAACTGGGCAAAATAGCCCGGTTTTGAAAGGGTGGTTCATAGGCTCGTGGCCCGCTTCCATCAGCCAATATGCATGCGAGAAAATGGCGACAGGCTGCAGAAAGGTCAGCCTTTTGTCGCTTTGGTGAGGTCAACGCCGTGGGAATTGAAGGTGAAAATACACCATGTCCTACTTTGGTGAGTAACTCATTGGTTCACTTGGTCTTTCCAGCAGTCATAAAGATATAAACAGGTATATGTTACCTTTGTGTATATATGTACATATCATATGTGTAGAATATATACATATACATGTATTATATACGAGTATTCTCTGTTAATATCTGTACAAATATGTGTGTACATGTATGCATGTTATGAGTTTAACCAAATCCTAGCAGACAGTGTCAGTACCGCAGTCGACGTGCCCATGGCCCCCTTCCCAAAGAGGACGCCTACAAGAGTAAACCAAGTTGTCTACCAATTTGCTCGCGTTGGAAGGTTTGGGCTCCCTCCGTTCCTTTCCGCAGGGCCCCGGGCGCTTCCACTGAGTAGAACGAAGAACCTCGGCCCGAGATTCAGCGTCTGAGTGGTTGTCCCACACATAGGTATCCTTTTGGGAAAATGGATTTCCCTGGTAGATTCTGAAACCAGGTCAAGTTAGGAATCGCCACCTATTTCCGACCAAAGCCAAAACGAACACCTGTGGTCCCGCATCTAGGTGCTTTCAGGGGTGTTCCGGAGAGACTGGCGCTTCGGGGAAACCTATTTTTTTTCCTCTGAGCAAAAGGTCGAACCTTCCTTTTAATGGAAAGGTCATTTGTTTTCCAAAGATCTAGGTCACGCCAAAGGCATCCAATCCACCCGTCTCCCCGTCTCGCGCTTCTCCACGCAGGTCCCCGGCTCGTGTCCTGGGCTTCCCTCCTGTAAGATGACATCGCCTGGCAATTCAAAAATCCAGGGCACCCCCGATTGAGTACTAAGTCTTGCCGTTGAAGTGGTGCCAAAAACCAGCGACGAATCCAAAGGCTTCGGAGATCCGCACCACTTTTCGGCCAGGGACTGGCCTTCACTTTCCTGAGCTTTGAGGATGTGGTGACACTTTGCCTGGTGTTGGCCTCGGATAACGCACCGCTTTCCATTTCAGCTTTTTAGTTGGACCAACCCAAAAGGGCCTTGATCCATTAGTAATCATACTTTGGCCTTTTTGGTCAGCATGCCTTGGTTCCTCCTCGGCCGCGGAACGGCGGGGGCCATCGGGCTAACGAGGGCTGCTGTGTCCAAGCCCCTAAACGGAGTTGACCATGGGTGCGCCTTTCTTGGGGCAACCTCCAACATGGTCTGAACTTCCTGGTGGTTTACCTCTGTAATTATTATTATTATTATTATTATGATTACTATTATTATTATTGTTTATTTTGTTTAAAAAAAAAAAAAAAAAAAAAAAAAAAAACTCCGGTCACACCCGATTACGTACCCCTCAAAGTTGTTTTGGAAGAGCGTCCAGCGAAACATGCCAACCCAAACTGTCGACTTCGGATCCGGAGTCCAGAAAAACCAAAAGAATCAAGCCCCTTTTGAGGGGAATGCAAGAATGGGAGTGCCTCAGCTTTGATCACCAACCACGAACTAACTGGATCATACTGTGGATGGACGATATCCTGCACCACCCAAGCAACCCGGGAATGATGGTTCCCCTGAAAACACCAACAAACAATGATTTTCCATGGTTTCCAAGTCGTGCGAAATGGATTTCGTCCATCCTCAGTATCACCGGGCGCGCGGGGAAGTTCACGCAATTGCTGAGCCATGACCTGCGACACTCGCCCGGTTGTGGAGATCACATGCCTCGAAGTCGGATTCGGGTTGGCTCGGATGTTTGCGTCCAAAGACGAAGTTGGTCGGGTGCTGAAATGTTTCTTCCGGGCCGTCCAAACTGATCCCCCTGCCAAAAGTGAGTCTAACTTGTAAAATCCGGAAAAACCTGACCACAACCAACCAAAAACCACTAAAAACCACTAAAAACCTCAGGATTCGCCGGGAACCACTGCGCGCTTTTTTTGAGCTCCACGCCAAGTCTCCCATCCCAAATCCCCCTCCACGCGCTCAAATCGCGAATCGAGTGTGCCTTTGGCGTAGCGCTGCGCTTGCATGGCATGGCCTCAACGGTTGCGGCCGATAGGGCAGGGCTCTTGCGAAGTGTCCCGTGCCCCGGATTTTTCGCGTGAAAAACAACTCCAGCTTGGTCAATTTCAACTTGGTACCCTTTTGAGGGCATCATTCACATGGATTTATGTCCTACAACCATAGAGGGTGGGCAAGGTAGAAATTCAGAGGAGAAAAATCAAGGCGCCGCTCTCAAAACCGGGTGCTTCCAGAAAAGAACATCAGCTCTACCAAGGCAAACTGACTTCATGGGGCAAGAGGGTGAGGTTTAAAATATCATGAAAAGGAAATGTCGGGATCGTCAAAATGGCGTACGATGCTCTTCTTGCGGTTGCCTTCCCCGACAATGAACAAAAGTAAGTCTAGGACTATCTCCCCAAACCACCCCAAACACCTGTCAAAAAGCGAAGCCTGGCTAATGCGGGGTTCGAGAGGTTGGGGTTCAGCCCCAAATCGGTTTGCGTGGTTCTCCATTTTGCCGTGGTCCCAGGGCCCAGAAAACAGGTGGGTCGGAACAACGCACGGCCCCCGAGCTAGTTTGGGCTGATGTTTTTCAACCCCTGGTTCTGGGAAACCGGGTTACTACAGTGTGTGTGCCCGAAATCTTCCAAACCGCGGGAAGATGGATCACTGCCCACCAAATGCACGTCCGCTTTACAAGCAGTTTTCAAGCACAGCTTTGCAAGGCCAAACGAGTGTTCAAATGTCCCTTGCCTTCCTAACCCGTGGTACGCTATCAAACCATCTATATGCCAAGAACAGGGAGGCCGGCCTACCCTCAGAAGCAAAACGAATGAGCCCAGCTATTATCCCCAACCGCCCACTCCAAAGCATATCTGGGCAGAGACCCCCCTGGCTTTCAGCTGTCAGCTGGGGACAAACGTGTCTTTCTTGTCTCCAGCCACTAAGAGGGGAAAAACAAAAAACGAGAGGAGAAAAAAAACGGGGGAAGAGAAAACTTAGAACACCTGCCAAGAAGAGAGGCCACGGAGAAAAAAATGAATCCAAAAAACACACACACACACCACACACACACACACACACGCGCGCCACCCGGCTACCCACGACGGCGCTCTGAGACCTTCGGCAGATCGCCTTGAGCGTCGCCATGTCCAGCCTGGCGCGCGCTGGAAAGTGGCGTTCAGTTTCTCGCTGGCCGAGTGGATGGCCCAAGAAGGTCCCCAAAGTCTTTTTTGTATTTACAGAAGTCACATGGTCCAAACCCAAAAAGTTTAAGTTTATGAACTCAGGAAGTGAGGTTTCCGTGGATGACACCAGGGTAACAATAACGTTCGTTGATCTTTACAGGGGAATCAGATCAGTCCGTTGGGGCTCTGAACGGTGCGAACTGGATTTTGCAACCATCCACGGGTGAAATGGAAACCCAACCACTAAACAAACTCAAAACCTTCTAAGACCTAAGGAGCCGGATGGCCCGCCAAGAAAGGGGCCAAATCCTTTCGCCAACAAGTCAATCGCGGAGTGGGGCAAATGACCGAACAGCTCGGATTTGTCGACGGATCTGGGTGGGACATGTGGGACGTGCTCTTGTTTTTCGCCCAACCAGAAAAGCCAGCGCAAGTAACTTTGACCATGCCTTTATTTGGGCTTTTGGATCCAATCCAAACATGGCGTGAAAACGGAACTACGCCAGTGTACCTTTTAGACCTTGGAATCGGAAAAACAAAATGTAGCCCGGTGGACTTGGGAAAGTCCCCCAATTTCATTGTTCGAGTCTGCTCAGGCAAATGGGTTGAAACAAATGGAACAGGGTGTAAACCCCCCCCTCCCTCGATTCCGTTTAAGGGACCAGGGGATGGCACAATGACTACACACACTGGGCGTGTCTCTTTTTGAAGGAACCCTTTCGGATTGCTTTTATACAAAAAGGAAGCCCAAAATCAGCCACTGGTGTCAGGGGTGCCCCTAATTAAAAACACCCCCATTGATCTATGATGATTTCATGGAGCCGGCACTTGGACAACAGGCCCCTTTCGGCAGGGTGCCAGAATGGCACCAAAGGAGAAGGCCGAGCCACTGAGTCCAATAAAATGATATCAGCAGCTCGTTTTCGACCAGCAGATTGCAGCCTTCTGGCGATCTACATGTCCGATTTGTTTGCTCGGAAGTTGCCCCTTTTGCCGTAACGTGCTGAGGTGTCGCCCTTTCTATGACTGGAGGGCTGGGGCCAACTTGGCGTGTCTTACTCTGAAACTGCTCGAAGGCAGGTTTTGGAGCCGGTTTAGTCACTCTCATCTCGGAAGTTGAGGGGACGCCCCGTGAAATATTCGCTTGAAGACAACTGCAACAAGGAGTCAACGTGATCTTGGATTAGTGGAATTAAGTTGGAATAACAAGGTCACAGTTTCCTTGTGGAGATAATCCCAAAGAAAGTCGCAAGCGGACGGTGTTGGAAAGGAATTCAACCTTGGAAGAGGCAGGGGTCCAGTCCGGGTGTGTCTGGTTTTTAGGGTGTCCCTTTTTGGGGTCAGTAATTTCGGAGGTCGGAGTCAATTTCACATGTATCCGCTCAGGAACACGTGCATCTACATCCGAACCTTTGCACAAAGGCTGGCTCAGCCCATAGAAAAGCATTTTCACCATGATGGCTGGCCCTCCAGCAGAGAAGTCTCCAAGTGACTTGTGTGGACAAACCATTGCGTCTGCAATGATCCCCAACTTCATAGCTTGCTCTCGCGTCTTGGCGGTCTGATCCATGAAAGAGTCCCAGCCGTCACGTAGAGTCTTTATCGTGATCTTGAGATCCCCTAGATTCAAGGTCTTTGGTCTTGGCCTTGCAGGGCTGGCGCTCCACCGGCAGGACCAACCAAATCTTCGAGAATGGTTGATGGTCTGTCATCAGCTGCGATTGCTGCACCTTCAGCTGTGACGGCTGGGTAATCATCCGCAGAAAGGCATGTTGCATGCTTTTAGCACATGCCAAGTAGGCTCGGTAGAGGGAAACTAGAGGACGTCCATCACCAATGCTCTACCAGTTTTGGGTCTCTATTTAGAAATCACTTTCGGGGGGTGGGACCCATATTGATCATGAATTAATTCAGGTGGGGATAGGTGTTCACCAACCATTGCTCAGGTTGCTCCCTATCGAAATTCATACTCCTCACACGCAAAATTACTTCGCTTCGAGAATCCACACCCTCCACACTCACGAGCTTACGACCGTTACAACAAATTCCTCCGCATCCTAGAGACTCCGACTCCAAATTCCCATCGGCCCCTTCCCTTCCCATCGGCCACTTCCACTTGTCTGCGAGCCGATCTCGAGAACTCAAACATCGGTTCCGTTAACAAAAGCCAAGCCCCTTCCAAAAAGAAACCCGACGGGGGATTAAACAAAGTTGCTTATTTACAACCCAAAGCAACACAAATCATCACCCTTTCCGGGCCTCAGGGTACACTCAAAACACGAAGGCACCAACATGAAATGTAAACCCAACTGTGCGCCGGGCGGGACATTAAGCAAAACCAGACTGGCGAGCTGCTCTGGCGGCATACTGGCGGGATCCACTGGCGAATGCTGGCGAGCCGCTCCGGCTCGATACTGGCCGGATACTCGGCAGCATCCACCGGCATGGGATACTTAGCGGGATACTCGGCGAGATCCACTGGCGAGCTACTCTGGGATACTCAGCGGGATACTTGGCGGGGTCCACTGGCGGGCTGCTCTGGTGAAAAACTCGGCGGGATTGGCGGGATACTCGGCGGGATTCACTGGCGAGCAGCTCTGGCGGGAAACTGGGCGGGATCCACTGGCGAGCCAATCTGAGTGTCCCATCAGCGGGATACTTGGCGGGATCCATTGGCGGGCTGCTCTGGTGGGATACTCGGCGGATCCCGGGATAGTCGGCGGGATCCACTGGCGAGCTACTCTGGGATACTCAGCGGGATACTCGGCGGGATCCACTGGCGGGCTGCTGTGGTGGGATACTCGGCAGGATCCACTGGCGAGTGGGTGCCCAATTGATCTTGTTGAGCTTGAATGAGCTCAGCGCCGGTGAACAAAGCCTGATCAGGAAGGTTGGACTCACCCACGCCCTGCAAACCGCAGTGCACCGCACTGCATCTACACTTGGTAGCGTCTCTGCCGAAATGCAGGACATTGATGAAATGGTTGACGCCCACGTTATGCAGAACACGCCATCTCTCATTTCCATCGGCAAACGCTGCATGGAACAGGGTTACACCTTCACCTGGCCTGCCGGTGAACTTCCCGTTCTTCAGGGACCTGGGGGTAAGGAGATTGTGCTGGACGTTTTACACAATGTCCCATATTTGCCTGCCTCCCGTTGCAACTTCAGCCGCTCTGGAAGGATACTCGGCGGGATTGGCGGGATACTCGGCGGAATCCACTGGCGAGCAGCTCTGGCGGGATACTGGGCGGGATCCACTGGCCAGCTGCTCTGGCGGGATTCTCGGCAGGATCCACTGGCGAGCTGCTCTGGCGGGATACTCAGCGGGATCGACTGGCGAGCTGCTCTGGCGGGATACTGGGTGGGGGCGTGGTGTAGAAGCATCGCAAACGCGGATTCCAACATAAAATCTAACAACCCCTTCCTGTTGGGTGGGGAAAAAAAAACAAAAAGGCCAGCGCCGCTGCTGAAACTGCGGCACATCGTGCAGGCTCGCCTCGATCCAATCTGTGATGGGTTGGATTGACGCACTGGGACGTGAATTGCACTAGGCTTGCAAGTGGCACAATTCCCGCAGGTGGATAAGTACAGGGGATGACTCACCATGGGTCCATTAAAGACCTTCCTACGAATTGGCTGAATGGGTCCTTGATGTCATCACAAGTGTCTGGGTTCATCTCTTCTTGGATGGAAAAAAGTGACATCCTCAGTTGGCCTCATGTTGATCAACGAAGAAAAAAAGCCTTGTTGGGGGGCTCCATACCGAGATAAACTCCGGATGGCTAGAAAAGTGGATGTACATCCCACTCAACCCTGGAGGTTGTGGTTTGAGGGCTGAAACCATCTCAGACCCCAGTTCCTGCTATTCGAAAAGTGGCATCCAAGTCAACACTATAGCCGGGCCCTGCGTGGAATCTTCGCTGCCTTTTTCCTCCCCTAACCCCATAACTCGCCTGCGGATTCACCCGGAACCCAAAAAATGACCTCCTCGAGGAAACTCTGTTGAGGGAACTGCTTGTGGGTTTCATGTTCGTGCTCAGGGAACGCACCAGTAAGTCCGGATTCCAGAACAAAGGCAACCAAATCGGATGGACGGTTTTTCTTGGGGTCCTTCCCTGCCTCATTCCCCGACCAAACCAGCAAATCATGGGATGAGCCGAGCAAACGCACGGCTTGTTCAGCTTGTTCTATGCATCCTGTGACCCCGGCCGCCAGGAAAGCAAGCTCTTGCTCCTGCCAGGCTGAGCGCCACCACAACGAGGGGACCAGACGAGTCATCGTTTCAGTGAAGATCTGCCTAAAATCCACCAACCATTTGGTAGGTATTCGTCTGGGTCACCACAACAGAGTAAAGCAAACTATGCATTCCTCTTGGCTTTGGGGGGGCTTAGAATTCTAAAACAAGGAGCCCTCGGACTATTTTCGAGGTGGGTGCAGCAAGGTATGTGTTCGACTTGTCTTCTTTCGGGCAGGGAGGGAGGATCGGTTGGGTTCGTGTTGGTTTCCCTCAAAGAGGGATACTCCCAAAAAACAGGCACACGCCCCATAGCAGGGTCCCTAAGATTTCCCTTTGAGCCAGTTCAAGTATCGCCTTGCGTTCATCAATGTTAGGTTTCGCATGCGACATCTCTGTCCCGTTTACCCAAAGGACCGGATTTGAGCGACCTTGGTGAGAGTTGCGAGTCCCCAAGATGACCCAACCCAACCAGTCCCTGCATTTCGTTTTGTTGATCAAAACTGGCATTTTCGATGGAACCCACCAATTAATTTCAGCTTTTGCAAGGGAAATCTAGTGACCACTGCGAAAGGGTAGAAGATTGGATCAGGTCCTTCTTGTTTTACCCTGCCAGGACAAGATTTCCCCCCCTTGTGAAGCCAGCTTGGACCCTTGTTTTGGAGGAATCGCCGCTCTCAAAGTGAGCTCACTTGCAACAGCGCAATAGCCGCTTTGATTCGTGTAGTCCTTGGTAGCCCCAGTGTGAAGGAAATAGCCGGCAATGGATTTTGTTCGGGGGGTGTGCCCCTCTTAGTGGGGATTTACTGGAGCGACTCCTCGTTTTAAAGGATGGGTTCTACTTGCATCCGGGGTCAACATTCCCAGACAAGCCTTTAAGAGGTCCGGGAACTCGAGAGAACCACAGCTATCAGGTACTTCCTGACGCTAAAGAAGCACCTATTTGAGCCACAATCACAACCCAGGTAGATCAAAATTAGTAAGGGGCAGCCCCTCCTTTGTATTTCCTTATTTCCTTACATGGATTTGGGTAGACCATGTAAATACCGAGTTTTGATTGTCACTCATTTGAGTTGCCGATTGTATTCCAGGTATGTGAGGACTCCCTGAATTTTGCCGTCTTGCTTTCATTTTGGGTGGGTTTCTCAGTAAGAAAGATGGGATGGCCGTTCCTTGGGGAAAGGGGCAGGGGCAAGCCCTTTTTTTTCTCATTTCCGACTGACTGCACGCCGGTCTGCTGCTGGCTTCCGCCGGAACATCGCATTTGCTAAATGTAGAAAGGTGAATGGAGAAGGATATGTGCCATGTCAACACCAGCCAGTTTTGGTGGGTGCTGCGCCTGAAAAAACCTAAGTTGACAGGCCTTAAGAGGACGGTCCAAAACCCTTCTATGCTGTCAGCTTCCATTGGGAAGATCTCATAGACACCAGCAGGAAATTCTACGGGAAACCAGCCACCAAAATTAGGGGTTTTCTGTAGAACTTCCTGTAGTTGGTTTCTTGGAGAAGAGGGTAATATGGAGCAGCATCAAGGCGCTCCGCCCAGGCGTTGCTTGTGGTGGGAACAGGGCATGGAGAGGACTGCCTGCTAAACCAAATAAGTGTCCTTCGGTGCTTTCAACCAAAAAACAGTACCCTCCTGTCCACCGTCTTCTGTTGGAAGGGGCCATTTCTCTGGGTTCCACAGCAACGTGGACAGAAGGGTACCATCGGGAAAAAAAAAAAAAGAAAAAAAACTTTGACACCAGCAGATGAATGCGTATAAAATATGACGTCCTTGTGGTTCTAGACTTCCGCAAGGCCATGTCCACAACCCCACCGACTCAAGGCGTCGCCGTCGCATTGGAAATCTCTCCGCCCAACCGCAGGGCTCTCCTGGCGCTCTTCGGGCGACTTCCGCAGGATCCGGCTGGCCGCCTTTTGGCCTCGGGACACACACCCATCCCCACCCCAGCCTACCGCGCCTTCCAAGACTTAAGGCAAATTTGGACGCCCAATTCCTGGGCTCCCTAACCAGCTAGCAGCACCCGGGTTCCAACTGCCTGTTTGGACAGAAGGAATCTCCGCCAGTGGGGGATTTCGCAGTTTTCGCCCCTGACCATTTCCTAGGAAGTGTCTCTCAATGTGCCATGGCCAAATCAGATGTGTCTTTGCCTTTGGCTTCTGGAGATGGTCAAGGGAGGTGACCAGGTGCAAGCCCCGAAAGGTGAAGATGTCCGAAAGGGAAACTCCTGGCCCCGAGTTGTTTGGTTTTCTAAATGTCGACCTGGAAGAAAGCATTGGGGGGTTGCTGGACATGGATGGAAATGACCTTTGCGATACCGGCCATCCTTATGGCTGGATCGCTTTAGAGAGAATTTCCTGTCACAGAAAGTGGCAAACCCATTCTTTCCCTACGAGGGCCGCTTGATGAAGACAAGGGCCGAATCGTCAGGTAAGGTTAAAACCAAATTAAGTCATGATCGTAGAAGGAAATGGTTGGCAACCAATTAGACCCTCGTATTAGCTTGTAAGACGTCCCTCCTGTCCACTAGCGCCACGGACCCCATCAGAGGCTCGGTCGCAATTGTCCTTCAGGACCCTGAAACGTCAGGACAGGAGCAATTACAAGTGAGTTACCTTTGAACGCAAATGGCCCAGGTTCCATCACATCGACCAGTGCTATTGTTTTTGTTGATGGCAATTATCCTAAGGGATGGTATCCTCAAAGAAGCCAAAGGAATCAAGGGTACTGTTTTGAGTTTGCCTTCCCACGTTTAAGGAGGACCCTGACAGGCCTCCGGATATGGCGGAGAAGAAAAAAAAAACCTGAGAGGAGCCCCCAGGCTTCGGAACGAAGCTTTCTGAAAGCTCTGAGAGCCTAAAATGGGAATGGGATGGGTACGTGCTTGTAAGCACTCATTTTTCAGGAGTGCCCTAGGCCTCCCCGGCGGGTCGGGTCTGCCAGCATCGAAGCAGAAACCTGGCATCGGATTGAATGTGGGAGTGAAGCCAAATAGAATGCCATTTGTGAAAAAACAAAAACTTGGGTGTTAGAAGCCAACATGCAACAACTGGCTTTGCAGGTGCCTTTTTTTTTCTGCAGGTACATGGATTCCACTGCTAAGCGAAAATCGAGCCAAACTGAAACCGGTGAATTCCATTTGTATTCAAAGTAAGGACACCTATGGCTGGGTCCATTGAGTCAAAACTAGCCGTTCAAAGGGAAACCTCCAGTTAGAGCAACTTCAGAGCCCTTCAAACAAATCGCCTCAAGGGACCCAGGCAAGCCAGGAAATTCTGCCGGAAATTTGCCTTACATGGTTTTGGGGAGTATTTGTCTATCTGCTTCTTAGAGAAGTCGTCGGTTCCCCTTCATTGATCCAACCAAACAACGGGCGCAAAGCCTCAAAACCGACGGGAGCCTCGCTTCGTTTTTTAGGCCAGAGGCTTGAATATCCTCAAATGCATCCAAAACACCCGTCCAAACCAGGGTTCCTTTTTTTGACAACCTGCGGGTAGACTTAAACCCAGGGGTTCCCTTTTTGGGGTACATGACCCACCCGGGTTTAAGTTTATTTGCAGGTGGTCCAAAAGTGGAAATCCAAACCACCAACCAAGGGTTGCCTGACCATCCGTGTGTGTTCCCTGAGCAAAACATTCGCCCAAGGAGAATGCCCAACAGCAGCAACCTGGCTCCAGCGACCACCACCGAGGCCCGTGGCTGTCGTTGGGGAAAACCACACCCTCCTCATGACCCTCCAAGAGGGTGGGTTTTTGTTGGGAACCTCTCTAAATACCTCTTTGGAGCTTAGGAGCAATCAAGTGCCCCACTCCGAGGGGCTAGGATCACAAAGAGCAACCATGCATTCGAGAACCAACAGCCGAACAGCCCGCATCTATTTGGCCAGCTTCCCTGTGCAAGGGTTGACTTTAGGGACCTTCCTCTTCCAAATAGACCTGTGTCTCGTCTTACCCTCCCCCCCCCCCAAAAAAAAAAAGAGAAGTGTAGAAACTCTCGAAAAGTCTCAGTCCGGGAAAAACAACTGCTGGGCATTAGGTGGGTGTCTCCTTTTTGTAAGGTTGGACCCACTCAAGTAGCATACAACCATGGTCACACGGGAGTCAAACTCCGTTACCCTACTATATCCATGGTAAAGTACTTTCCGTACCCCTGACTGGAGGTCCAGCACTCTCAAGGGTGCAGATTGAGATGACTGCCCCGATTGAATCTGATCGACCGTACTCTCCCGTCCGTGCCTAAGCCATCGCGCGAGGCGAGAAAAAGAGGCGCGTTCGTTCGGGCGATATTTCTTCGGGTGCAGTGTTCGGAACAACTAGAAGGCTAAAATGGAGTTGAATACGCTAAAACCAAACTACTGTGGGTGGGCGGTGTCCAATTCACACCTAAGAAATCCCAAGAAACCCTGGAATGATTCGATTCCCCTGTAAATACCAAACGAAAACCAATGGTTTGCCTTCGTTTCGAATTGGTGCGAACGGTTTTCGTGCATTCACAGTATGTCATCACAATGTGAGTAATTTGGCCATTCCTGTACTGTTAACCTGGATCAACAAACCCCTGGTTGATTAATTGGGGGGTGTCCCCTTTTAGTGGGGGGTTCATCACTTTGGAGGGAACAGGACGGGTTTATTTATCCTGGGTCAACATTAGAGAGCCACCGGCAAAGAAGGGGGTTGAGCTTCTCTCAAATCAGTTCCCGGTGTGTTCGGTCGCCCAAAAATCCACCGCCTTGATCAAAGGGCGCGCGCGAGTACGGCGATACAACCTTCCGGAGAAAACGCGAAAACACTTCGACCTGCGCTGGGTCTGCGCGGTACTGTTTCTTTTTTGAAATTACAACAATAACAATAATAACCCACAACAACAATAATCATCATAAACATGAGAACAATGAGAATAACGATGAACATGATACTAATAATAACAAATACAAAAAAAAAAAAAAAAACATAAGAGAATAATGGGAATAGTGAAAATCATGATAATAACAATAACAATAACAATAATAATCATGACCATGAGAATAAAGGGACATAATGATAACAATGATAACAATAAGATAAAGAAACATACTCATAGCATACTCCAGTTAGGAACCTCAACCGGAGATTCGTCCCATTCTCCAAAACAAAAAAACATCCACCAGAGAGAAACTCAATCTAGTTCCTCCAGTAGAGAGGTTAGAATACGGGTACCCGATTTGTTTTTTCTGTAGTCTATTTTAGTAGGGGAACTCTCACCCAAAAAAAAGTGTAAAAGGGCACCAAGCTGGGGGACCTAGCAATGAAACTCGGGCGCTAAAAACACCCGAAAATGAATATATAAGAGGAAAACGGGGTATTTGGACCCCTGTGCCGCTTCCATCTGAGCAAAGGAACTTTAGAGGAAACGCCCACGCTGTGCCTTCCCCCTTGATGAATGTGTCCCTTTTGGTTTCCTCTTTTGTTCCCTGAGCAACAAGCAAAGGTGCCTTCAAATAAGACAATGCGGTCATATTCTGCCTTTCTGCGGCCTGAGCAGGGTTGCTGCCCCCTTTTCTCCAGCTTCTCTTCGAGGGATCTCCTCCCCTGTCAAGGTCGCTGTCTCGTTTCACCTGACCCAGGTGGTTTGGATTAATGTTGCCCAGGACTAGTAAACCCGTCCCATTAGGGGGGGTCCCTCCAAAAAATGATGAATCCTCACTAAAAGGGGACACCCCCCTATTAATCAACCAGGGGTTCACTAATCCGGGGCAAACATTAGGGATTTAAACCCCCAGTCGATCGGGAGGACTCCTAGCCTTCCAACCACCACACCAAACACAATGAAATTGTTTGCCGCCTGCGCACGACGCCACCAAGTCAAAAGCCTCAGGACTCCCGAGAATCACCACGCCAGATTCAAGCCGGCGCTCAATGATACGACATGTCCAGCTTCAAGCAACCTTGCTGATTCTCAGCAGGGAATCAACCGGAATTTGAGAATTCAGGATTCCCTTAAAGCAAGCCGCAAGGGATGGTTCAGTGGTTCCCCATCTTTCCACGCACAGGGGTTCTCACAAATAACCATGAACGGTGGTTTCCTTTCTGGAAAAGGCAATGGTTCAAATTCAGGATTCTTCGCAAATGATGAATCAAGTCCTCACCTACAATGAGCACTCGAACCTCTGAATGATACCTGCCCCCCCCCCCCCTCCCCAAGAAGTGGTTTACAGCTTGCTACCTGGTGGTTGGACACAAGCCCTTGCCCGACGAGCATCCAAACCCAAATCCATCCAACCACCCCCAACCCCCACCTGCCGCGGGGGCGATGGGAGGGCATACCTCGGAGCACACTCGGCGCTCGGCCAATCGCCAACCGCGAGAGATGGGCATGAGGCACCCCGAGAAAAACCGTCCATCCGACTTGGTGTCCTAAGGGAATCCCAACCTGTTCATTAACACCCGGAAGGGTCATTACCTACCGAGCAACCGCGGGAAAATCCGAGAGGGCGGGGTCTAGCCAAGAAGAAGTGAGGCCAAAACAACCATATCCAAGATGCCCTGAAAAGCCATTCAAAACCAAAGCTGCGAGCAGAACTTGCTGAAGCCGCCAAAACTGAGACATGCGCCGACGAATTCGGGGAAAGTCTCTATCGGCATACAGGAATTCAGCGAGGGTGTCATCCAACGGGTTGCGCCTCTTGGCAAACTGCTAGAATTCACAGGCCAAAAACAAGGAATCTCAGCTCCCCAGATCTATACCCAGAGCTCCCTCAAAACCTTCACATGGCTTCACCTTCCTCAGCCCGAAAAATTCACCGATATGAAACCCCTTCAGGTGCTGAATAGTTGCAGCAAAACAACCTTTCCGTGACGACTGCCCACACTTCGAGCACTCTGGAAGGAACCATCCGCGGCCAGCCACGAAGAGCGGCTCTCAAAACAACTCTTCTACAACAACTCTCCCACAAGCGTGGGGAGAAAGCCATCAAAAATCCCACTGAACATTCCCCAAAACTCACGTCCTGAGTGGATTGGCCGGAACAATCTGAGCTCTTTGACTGCCACCAAATGTTCCAGCCCCAAAGTAGAAAGTCAAGGAACTCCGCCCAGAAAACCACGCAAACGACCTTCCGCCAAGCCGCGGGATCATGCCGGTGGCAACGACCCGATTCGGTCACTGAAAACTCTCCCTGATTGGGGCCCACCCCAAACAAATGGGTTTTGGTTCTGGGATAGAGTCGGCCATCCTGACTCAAATCTCTTCAAGCCCTTATCCCAAGAGAATGATTGGGATCTATGCGCGGCAAGCCCTCCGAGAAGCCTCTCGGCTCTTTGCTCCAACTTTCGGCCCGGTGTCACCGATTTTTACCCGAAAAAATGCCCCCAAAAATGTGAGAAGAATGCTTCGAAGTTGAGTTCCGAAAAAGGTGGTTGGACCCCCAAGAGGGGCCTGCTCTCCCTCATGGCCGGGGCATTTATCTTGAGGCGAGCGGGCGGGCGGGGTTTGGCGAGCACTCCCAGCTGATTCCACTGAGAACAAAAGCCGGCTCGCAAAAAACAGTTATCCGAAACCGGCTCTGAATCTGGCAGGTGCCTTCGGTGAGGGACCAAAGTGGAAGCTAGGAACTTCTGAAACATACACAAATCTCTTGTTCCTGGGAGCACTTAATTATCGGGGCGATTGGACGGGAAGGAATGAGTAACACACAAGAGAAGGCTTCTCAGGCGGGCAACAGGCATAGCTACAAAGGCGCCGTGTGTCGTCGAGGTCTTTACAAACAGGTGGATTGTATTTGCCCACGTGGGTACATCTCCAAATGGAGCCGTTTGGAGGTATTTTGCGTTGGGCTTCCAACTAAGCCTGTGAAAAGGGTAACGCAAACAAACACCAAAATCTTGTCCCAGCTGACTGGTTGGTTCCGTCGGAACGAGCAAGGAATCCATGTTGCGCAAGTTCAATTCATGGGGTAAGAACACCCCAAAGCCTTCGGAGCTCGCGATCACTCGCAATGTGAAGTGCTGCCCTGAACAAAACAAAACATGACTCGGTCCTCGCATAGCAATGCTCCGACTTGACAAGTGCCGATGGCGGCCCCTCTTGGAAAACCGGAGGAGGCCCAACTCAGAAACACGCTCTGTCGATGTTTGGGGGACCTCTGCCTGTGGAGTCGGCTTTGGAGGCTTTAAAGGGAGACCAAAAGGAAAGCAGTGCTAGTTTGGGGGGTTCCATTCCTATTTCAAGACAAATCCATCTTGAGAGACCCAGATTGGTAGCAGCAGTGTCGAGTCATGTGAGGGCCCGGCACTTGTTGCAGAAAAGGAGCCACTTATTCAACACGACTCCGAAAAAGGCATCCAACCCCCCAAGCAAGTGCTCAGTCCAACGAACGTGTCTTGCGGTGCAAAGGAACAACCACAAAAACACAGCCGACATCAGACGTGCCCCCATCCACGATCCGGTCCCATCCACGTATGTGCTTGTTTCTCCCGCAGCGATGGGCCGGGATTCCCAGCATCGACTCGCAAGAAGCAGGGCTGGGCGAGTCGAGAAGTTGCTTTTGCCCGGTGACCGAATCCTCGGGTTTCATCCATCCCAGGTGCAGCTGTGCGTCCCACTACCTGTCCCATAGCAGCATTGGCATCTAGACAGTCTATGCGAGTGGTCAAATGGATGTCCACCCCCAAACTCCTTAAAGGTCTCGCACTAGATATCCACCCAAGTGACCCTTGATGGCAAAGGGCTGGGCTTGGCTGATACAATTTCCCAACCCTGCTGCAAGCCTTCCAAGACCAGCAGACGTCAGGAAATGCGGCAGAGCACAGTTCTCAGCTGAACTAGCAGAAGACGTCAGACACCGCTAATGCGTGAAGCCTTTCCAACAGACAAAAGGGAAGCGAGCAGTTTGGCGAAGAATGGTGTGTCTGTTTTTTTAAGCGACCCTTCTCGTGTAAAGGGAAACCAAACGGAAAACCACGATGTTGGGGTTCATTACCTGAATTGACACATACCCACATGGATTTTGAAGGGTGGGTGAAGAGAATGGAGAAGGCAAGAGCCGCCCTGACAGCCTGCTGGCGCTTGCGTGGAATTCCGAAAAGCACGTCCGCAGCATTGTCGGAAGAGCGAATTTTACACAGGACCGTTGCCAACTAGCCTCTCCATTTGCCACATGCCAGAGTTATCAGTTTCCATGTCCCTCTCAAACCAAACAAAAAGGCTGATCGCCTTTTTTTCGCGGGAATCCACTGGACCCACGAACCATGGAATTCAGGGTGCGGCCCATTACCCTTGTGATCAGTGGCTTGAATCCAAGGGAATTCCCGACATGAAGTGACAAGGTGGCTATTCAACGGCTCCTCAAAAGACTGGGGTAGTCAACCCCAGTTTAGCCCCCGCAAAAAGGTCGAACTTGTTGCTACCGGTTGCGGTTACAAATTAAGTTGGAGTGACGGGAAAAAGTCGTCCGCTCACGGGCATCCAGCGCTTCGGTACTTGGCAGAATCACTCGGCAGGAGCCCACAGAGAAGCGTCCTTTGCTGAGAAGGAGATGCCTCTACTGATGGTTTATGGGGCTCCATGCCGATATGGATTTCCCTTTTCGGGCCCTTTTGCAGTGGACAAGGTAGGGTGCAGCAGAAATGCCAACCCCCGGTACGGGAAACAAAAATCTAACTTTATTGCAGCCCCCAAAAAGAATCAACAGAACCAACAATACTAAAAAGGCCTGCCAAGGCAAGTGGAGCTACCCATGAACCTGCTAGCGAGGTTGTTTTCAAAAGGAGACGGATTCCCCTTAGCCAGCCCTGCATGAGTTGTAAAGCCCGGAGCTAAAGACTTGTTCGAGGCTCTGGCGCCGGTCCCCAGATTTGAGCTGAACCGCATCGAGAAACCCCGCGCGTGGCAAATCAAAAGATGAGGCGCCCGGGTGTCCGGGCCGTTTTTTCTTTTGTGGATGCAGAAGTCTGGGCTGTTCTCAGATCCCCTGCTAAAGGCTTAGATTTTAGTGGCTTAAATGGAAACCCAAGCACTAAACCAACTCAACACCTGAAAGTGGCGATTGTGTCAATGGAAACCACCAGTAAATTGATCAACTCAAACGGAAATCTGGTGACCCCTGGACGCTTTGCCCGAGGTTGAGAAAGGCGAGGCCGATGAGTTCAGGTTGCTCCCATTTCGCCTTGAATCGGAAGCTGTAGCCCCTCGTGACCTCTGCGCAGAAAATCAGATCAGATGTTGTTTCATTTGTCATGTTGACCCCGGATGAATAAGCCCCTGTTTATTAATATGGGAGTGTTCCCCTCCAAATGTGGTCTGAATCCCCAGTATAAGGGACACCCCCCATATTAACAAACAGGGGAATTATTAATTAAGGGTCAACATTAATCTTCCCCCAGTTGCAACCGGTGACCAGTGACACGTCAACCGCTTTCGGAGAAAGTCCTGCTAAATACACAGATATGTTACGGCTGGATCCACTCTCCGGTGGATTCTGTGAAACTCCCCAAAAGGATGGTCGCCGTTTGTCCACCCAAAAGGAAGATCAACCGGTAAAAAGGAAAGATCTAAGGACAAAGTGAAGGAAGTGTCCTTGCTAATTGGCCGTTGCTCTGTAAAAGCCTCCAAACAATGAATGCTACATGAATCCAGAGGTCCAAAGGGTCTCTGAAAATTCACACCCAGGTGAGTCATAATCAAAACCCGGAATTAAAATGGTCTACCCAGAACCACATAAAGAATTAAGAGGGCGGATATCCGCAACTAATTCTGGCTGGGACTTTCCCTTGCTAACCTTCATCTACCCGGGCTGAGCACGTGGCTCAGGTCTTCCCAAAGGTCTTCCCTGACGCCACGCGTGCGGCTTCGCGTCCCGACTGCGTCCAGGGAGGCGCCTTGGCACTCCGCTGGGCGTCCGCCTCGACCTGGGACGGGTCCGGTCCTCCGGGTGTTTCGCCCTTCCGACGGGGGGTCCCTATGGATAGACAAAATCCATTTCGCACCACACACAGCTTAGAATGATGACTCCCCTTTAAATGCCAACACACAACAGTTCATCATGGTTTCCAAGTGGTGCAGGATTTCGTCCATCCACAGTATGCTTCCCCTAGCTTGCATCACTAAGGGAAACTCACCTGGTTGCTCACAAACATGGGAAGCATGCCCCAAAACCCGAGACTCCACCGCGAAGGCGATTTGGAGCCCAAAGAAAATGCCAGACAAGACCACACAAAGCCACAAAGCCTCAAAGGCTGACCATGTTTCGCCCTCAAACACCCCAGCAAAAGGATACTCGCTTCAAATTGGCAAAACAAAAGTGATGCTTAGAACACCTTTGAGAGGGATTTCCTCGGCTCCAAGGAACAGGGTGATCCAATGGATGCGCGTGAGGCCATGACCACAGTTCCAACTTGGATAACACGCTTTAAAGTGGGTTGAAAAGCCAAGTAATGTTCTTTTGGAATCAGTAGGGAATAGGGAGGAAGACCTCCCAGTGAAGAAGTCTCTCGAAACTGGAACGCACCCATCCCAGCTGATTTCGCCCTCAGCATGGCTGTGTACCTGGACTTTTGGGACTTTCCCAAGACTCTCCCTCTCATATCAGCTTCCCTCAGATTGGTGGTTTAGATTGGTGGTTTTGTGGTGTTCCATGGTGTCCAACCTACCCACCAAGACTGCCACCCCACCCCCCCACCCCCGTAGAAAAGGGATTGGAAATGCATTAGTGCAGAGGTGCCACTGAACTGGAAAAAAACGGTCACCCTGAGCGCCCCACTTTTCCTGGTTCGAGCGTGGAAAAGGGCGGAAACCACTGAACACGGCCTGAAGGACCCACAACTGGTTGATGTCCCAGGTAAGGTATTGCAATACCAAAGTGGGATTCCTCCCGAGACTGATTGGGCCTCGAAATCACATTTTGTCGGTCAGGAAGCCGCCGAAGAAAGCGACTGGATGGGCGCTGAAGCCCTCCACGGACCACTTCCCCTTCAAGAGTTGCAGCTTGGTGAACAACAATCCAACTGGACCTTGACTGGCCGCATTGTGTTACACCATGGTCACAGTCAGCCCTGAGTGCTGGGTACAAAAAAGGGAACAAGAACCTAGGTCCTGAGTTTCATAACCTCCAGAAACCGCCCAAATCATCTGCAATTTCAAAAAAACAAAAGCCCCGAAACTTGTCTGAATTGGATCCCCGGGTACCCCGAAAACCCGGAGGTCGACTTCCGGCTCCAAAGATAAGCCCCGAAGAAGAAAAAAAGGGGGGAAAAGGACCTTCGCGTCGCGCCCCGAAAAAAACCCTGCCAGCCCCGACTCCGGCGACGAGCTCCGCTGGACCAAAACCGAGGCCCCCGGCCATCGATCGAGTCGAGTCGCATCGCAGCCCACGGTTGGGCGGGTGGGAGGGGGGATTCGGCGGCAGGTCTTGTGTAAAGGTATGCGTGCACACTGCGTACATGTACATATATATATATATATGTATATATATATGTATATGTATACACATGTGTATATATATATATATGTACAAATATATATATATATATATATGTATATATATATAAATAAATATATAAATATATAGATATATAGATATACATATCCTGGGACATGTGGTCAAAGACAAGCATTCTGCCTGTGTCCAGTGTTTTGTTGCTTGCAACATGTATATATGCATCGCGGGGGGTGTCTACAAATATATATATATATATATATGTCTATATTGTATGTCTGTGGGTGAGAAATAGGGTAACCTCAAAATGTGTTGCCCGCTAAATGGAGCCAAGGACTAAATCATGGTAGCTTCATTTTGATCTATATACCCATATAAGGTTTTTGGGCTGAAATCTAGCAAGGTTCACATGTCCTAATCCCATGGACTATGGACAATTAAAGTAACGCCAAGTCGTGGAAGGGCCAAAGCCCGATCCCACGATTACATGTACATGCTACACTGATCTGCAGAAAGCCTGCCACTTGTTGCTTTCAACTCAAGTGGGTGTCCCTAATTGGAGGATGTCACCGAAAGAGTTTTGACATGCAGAGATGGCAATATCAGTTGCTCATTAGCAAGAAGGTCAACAGAGTCCACGCTTTGACAGGGGTCACTTCAAATACAGTTCTCAGTTGCTTCCCACTTTCATGCATGTCATTGTGCCCCAATGCTCAATAGGATTGTCCATTCCCAACAAATTTTCGCTGGTTGACAGATGCAACTCTGGGCGAAAACACATGAATCCCCGACACCTTTGCCATGGGTTGGTAAAAATCGAATGCCATCGAGCCACCTCCCAGTGAAACACGCCTCAGGCCCCGGAATTCGGAATTCGCGCCTGGCTCGCTCACCCAATCGGTATCAAAATGGTCTACGCAGAACCTATCTAAAGGGCGGCCGCACCTGTTTATGCTTTGTCTCCTTCTGCCCAGCTTTTGATTGTGGCTTGTAGCGACGGTCAAAGCGATTTGCTTCCTTGACATGGGAAGGTTAGGGTGCCGTCCCCAATTGAGAGCTCCCACGCGTCCCTCCCAACAGGACCATAGACCACATGGTCCTTTGGAGGCAAGGAGGAGCCCTGCCGAATGTCCCCCTACGGCTTCCCTACGGAATCCCTACGGATGGACAAAAAAAAAACCGCTTCGCACCAGTCGAGCACGGCCGATTTGCCTGACTGGGAAACACCACATTGGAGCCAGGCGTGTCCCACTCCGTGTGAAATGTCCCCTAAGAGCGCCTTTTCAGCTTCCCTCCTTGTCGTGGCTTGGATCGGGGAAGGAAGCTCGCAACATGCAACATGGACCCAGTATCACTCATTTCTCACCCGTAATTGCGGCTTTTTGATTTGATTGGCGTCAAAACACCCCCAAAAGATATTCCAAAAAAGGGAGAGGATGCCTATTTGGCGCCAACCGATCCAACCGGCCGACCAACCACTCAGACCAACCAACCTTCCCAACCCCATCCTCAGCACCTCTTTAGAAACGAACGGAACTAACAATATGCGCTTTGTCGTGTCAAAAAAGCCCCGCTCTTTGGGTTCCGGGGAGGTTCCGGGCAAACTCGAATTCGCCCGATGCGCGGGCCCCAAGTAATGAAAGGGAGCTTCAGTTCGCGCCATGGAGCCAATTTTCAGCGACTAGTAGTGACTAGTGGTGACCAAAAGGGGGAAATGATTAGAGTAAAGTGGTGTACTTTGAAACAAGCCAGGATGATAGTACCCAACTCACATGGAAGTGCCCCTGTCACCCCTTTCTAAAAGAAACGTCTTCGAGAGGGAGCCGAACCTGCGCCAACCCATGTTTGTTGCGAGGGTCAGTATTCGGCCCCATAAACAATGGTGAGCTGGAATTGTCCCAAAAAATCACAAAGCACAAAATTGTGCCTCCGTTGTTGGGCGTTGAATCGGGGTTAATGAAAAGGTTCTTAACCTTTACCAGCGAAAACCGCCAAAATGATAACTTCCCATCCGTATTTACCCATAGTCATTTGGCCCCATTCGGAACACCCAAAATGGGATTCTTATTTTGGGATGCCTGTTTTGTGGTTAAAACAGAACCAAAGGAAAGTCACCTCGAACCCACAATATTTCACCTTACCCCCAATCGGTGGCTTGGTTTGGTGTGTCCAAAGGAAGTGGAGTCAAATCCAAATCAAAACCGTCAATCCAAACCACCAACCAAAAGGTACCTGAATGTGTTGTCAGAACTCCCTTTTTGTCCCCGTTAAACATCCCCACACCAAAGGGTAAACCATCAAAACGGGAAATCTAAGGAACCCTGTTTGTGGATGCCTTGAAAAACAAAACACATACGCCCTCCAAATCCAAACCCCCAATCCAAACCACCAAGAAAAAGGTATCAAGTTGTCGATGATGCCTAAGAAGGAAAATAGAGAAACACAATTCATGCCTAAAGGAAACTGGTGTGGATGCCTAAACAAAGAAACAAAAAAAAAAAAAGACACTAAGGCATAGGCCGCCAAGCCTTTTGGAAAAATAGATGGCCCCGGTAAATGGAACAAAACCCATCCAAACCAGTACCATCTATCTGTAGCCAGACTAACTTAAAAAGGACACCTAGTGTGGATGGTTGCGAAATCCATTTCGCAAATTGAAACCGTGGTTGAAACCATAACGTTTGTTGGTATTTGCAGAAAAAACAAATCATTCCGTGGGGTTTCTTGGGTGGCGCGATTTCGCGCGCGCCTCACTCCGCCAGCTTGGCCATGGGCTGGTGAGCCTCCGCCGGAGTGCCTCGGGCGCTTTGTTAGAACCTGGGTCTTGGAGTGGTTTGAAGGGGAAACCAAGGCGAAACCAAAGGGAAACCAAGGGGAAACCAAGGGGAAACCAAAGGGAACCGAAGGGGGAACAAGGGGAGAATCCAGCAAAGCCTAGGGAAACCAAAGGACAATGGGGCAACCAAGGGGCAAACAAAGGGAAGTCAAGGAAAACAAAGCCCATGTTGCGGGTGCGGAATCCTTGCTACTCGACAGTATGTTCAATTCACAGCGGCACGAGATGTGGTTTAATGGGACATTGACAAAATGTGGGGATATTCGAAACCCGGGGGGGGGGAGGCTCCGATTTGTTTAATCCGCAATCCGTAGGACACCACTGTCACAAGGCAAAGCAACCCAGCAAAGTTTCTGAGTTTGCTGTTTCTTCTCCTCGCTAGTTGAAACATCACTCCAGCCACACAAGAAACACCTACACGTGGGCGAGATATGTGTCTTTCAGCTGGGGTTGGTTTGCAGGTCCTTCTGCTTTTGGAAATCCAAGCAGCTTGGCTTGCTTTGGCGATTTCCCTTCTGAATAACCCAGGGGCTGCCGCAAAATTCGCCCAACCCTGGTGGGGGGCTTCCCCACGCCCGCTTCGAGCGGGACTTCCGGATTCACTTTTGCCGAGAGCCGGGGCGTTTGTGCCCGCGGAGTGCTCCGACACTCTTGCTGGTGCGAAATCGGTAGGGAATGTGGTTGAATGAACCCAGGAAGTGGTCCCCTTCAAGGAAACCAGAAGGGATGGTTGATTTCCTGCTGAGCACCAGCAAGTTTGGGGGACCCCGATTTGGGTTCCTTGGAGTTTGCAGCAGGCTACGGAGCAACCCGGCCAAACGTTTTCAAGGACATCCACCAATTCAAAAGGCTCTTCTAATGCAGGGCGCGGCTTCCACTTGGCAAATTGGCGACAGTGGAAAATGATGAGCATCAAACCAATCTGTCGGTGGACACATATGCCCACACACACCCCTGCAAGTCAACAGAACTAGGCCGAATTAACAGTATTTGGACTCTGCACTTCCCGAGCGGGTTGGCCAAAAGACGTCCACCCTTTTCGTTCCAACCAAAAAATGTCTTCCCAAAAAGTAGGAACGTCCAAGACCTCGGGGAGCGCGGCTGGATGCTTTTTTCCAGCGGGACCAAGCTCCGAGGGTTCACAGCTCCCGCGCCTGAGTTGTGGTCGCCCTGGCCGCCGCCCACATCGAACTCCGGCTTGGTCATCAGGTTGGAGGGCCAGAAGCCTCAGAACGGATCCCATCCCCAACTCCCCCCATCCCCCCCAACCAACCCCCACATGATGGACTGGGTCTGCTTTGCAACCACCTTCCAGACAAAGGGTCTAGGGGTACCTTCCATTTCCATTCTGAACCCAGGGATCCTTCTTGGAAATGGACACCATCAAACACCACGGGACACAGCCGGCTTTTGAAAAGCACCGTGGTTGAAAAGAATGGGGAGTCAACCCCTAGAAATAGATCCCCCAATCCCCCACCAACCCCCCCCCCATGATGGACAGCTGGGGTCTACTTAATTCCAACCACCTTCAAGAGGAAGGTGCTTGTTTAGCCTTGACCGCCAAGCAGACTTTTGTTTTGGTGTCCAGCCTCAGGAACACATGGTTTTTGAACCAACAGGTGGGTGAGGGAACAGAGAAATCATTGACTCTGCGTGTCTTGGACCCCCAAAATTCCCCACCCAGCCGGCTCATGGGTGCCTCAAGGGCCACAAAATGATCCACAGACATGGCCAAATCCATTCTTGCCCCAGGTAAAGGACCATGGCATGATTGTCTTGTCCCCACCACAACCCCTAGTTTAATGATTTAGGCCTTTGTAGCGGTCCTCGCTCGTCTTTGCCTCCTTGACTTTGCGGACAAACCCCGCCACTCTCACCAATCAACCGGCCTCCACAGCTGGACACATTAAAACGGCGGATCTTGGCTTCATTGTCTCAGCTCAATGGTGAACCAACACAAAAAATCGCGGGTCGACATTCAAGTGAGCTTCGTGGCTCAGAGGGGGTCTTCCCTTCCAAAGCGATCCAAATTGCCCAGGGCGCCCGATCAAAATCTACCAGGCCTTAGCTCATCAACTGCGGTCCTTTTCCATGTCCCGAAACTAAGCACTTTGCCTATTTCTGCGGTTTCCTGTGGGTTCATCGAGAAAAAGAAGAAGAAAAAAACGGGGGAGGGGAGGGGGGAAATTACATGTCAGTTTTGGGGTAACTCAAAAATCACCATTTTGCAAGAGTCCCCCCAGAAAAGAAACACCCATATGGTTTAGGTCCCTTTGATTTTCCTTCCAACCAATAAGCTTCCCCAAAGAAAGGCACCCGCTTCTTTCAGACACGTCCAGCCAGAAATCCCGGCTGGGCTCCCCGGCAGTCGAGGCCGCCGTGCTTCGAGCAGCAGGAGGACGGTCCCACCTGAGTGCAACCAACATGCGGCATGGGCAATTTGTGCCTTTCTGAACATAGCTGGGTGTGCCTTTTTTGGGGTACTTGTTGTTTAGTGGTTTTAACAGGAAACCAATGGCAAAACCACCAATCTGAGGGCTCCCCCTGAAAAAAGACAGACCCAGTTCAGCCGAAAAAAAGGAATGAACCCCCCAACCCCCCAACCCCCAAGAAAGTCAGCTGCATGCAAGACAAAAGAAGGGCACACACCAGACCTTTGGCCGGAGAGTCCTTCACAGTGTGGTGCCAAAACCTGAGGCAAGGAGTTCATTCAAGGCGGTGTTCACCAAGCACCTCTCTCCTTTTCCGGAAGAGTGCTGCTCAGGAGCGCATACAAAGCTCTCTGGTTTTTTTTGAAGCCTTCAGACTTTCAGGGTTTTGGAGGTGTTGAAGGTCCTGATGTTTTTTGTTCAACTGAAGGTATTCAGTGCAGCTTGTTTGAGGCCGCTTTGAAGCTTCTGTAAGTCTTACAGGCTCTGAAAGATCCGAAGCCTCAAAAAGAAAGTGCAAAACCGTTCGTTTGGTCTACACGGCTCGCTCTCTTTCTGCGGACAGGGTTCCCTATGCTTCCCCTCACATTTTGCATCACTAAGGGAAACGCGCCGAAATGTGATGGTTTAAACTCCCACCCAAGAGTGGGTTTTTAACCGGGTCTTTCTTGGAATCGGCACTGCGGAAAGTTTGGTTTCTGTCTTTTGGCTTCCCCTTGAAACTTCCGCCCCCGTTGCCGCCAGCTGTCGGATCCAAGAAGATCCGAACACGTCCGCGGCTTCGAAGTTGTGGCTCGAAACGAAACGATCGGAGGGGTTCAGGAGGGGCAAACCCCAGGCTGTGGTCCATGTTTCCACTTAGGGCCACCCATTTTGGGGATTAATTACCCGGTTTTTTGAATTACAGCCACCGCCAAGCTCCAGTGGTTCTCCCACCCGAGCTCCCCGGCGCGGAAGGGGAAGTTGGGCGCCAGCATGGCGCACTTCTTGTAGCACATGTTGTCGAAGAGCTCCTCGCGGCGGAATTGGCGGAAGTCGAAGATTTTTCCGCGGCGCCGAGACGAACTTTCAAAAGCCGAATGAGAGTGGCATGAAGGACCAAAAAACCGAAGAAGCGCTAGAGTCTGGCGATGTGTGTTTGTGTCTCTCTCTTTTTTTCCGTCGGAAAAATGTTCGGCGGTCCCAAAACGGAGAGAAGAAAAAAAAGTTCTCCTGAGAGTGCATGGAAGACACCAGCCGGTGCTTTTTCCCCGTTGGAACTTTTCGCGGTACCGAAACAAACAAAAGCCATGAAAGCGGCATGGAGGACCCGAGATTTTCGAAACGGCCCCTCCTCCACTTCCATGGTGGCAATGATCCAACCTTTACTCTGCATTTTTTTCGCGAAAAGGGCTGTTTGGGTTCCATGTGAATCTGCGGGAGCAATTGCACGGGTGGTGAAAAGGAAAACTAGAAGGAAACCATCATTTTTAAAGGTGCCCTAAAACAACACACCAGATGCGTTGAGTGAGATTGTATTGCCTAAAATAGAGGCCTCTCTGGCTGCTCAGGGGTGTCCAATTCCCAGTTTAGGACACACCCACGTGGGACTCGTTCCACAAGGCATCAAATGGAAGGGTGAGATCTAGTCCCACTGCTTCCTCGAGTGCCTGGAGCAAAGCATTGGGAGCGTGTCAAATGACATGGGTTCTTCCAGCAACATGTCCTCCACAGCGCCATGTCGTGAAGCTTTGGCGGATGGAAAAACACTGGCAAAGGCCCTGGATCCAACGCCAAGAACCACCAAGCGCATGCTAAGCGCGCTCCGAAAGGAGAACCAAACTCAGACCGTGCGAAAAGAAGGGCCCCGAAATGATGGCTTCCTTTCATGTCCCTTTAAACAACCCAACAAAAGGTACTGTACCCTCAAAACAAAAACAAAAAACAAACACACACACACACACACACTTAAACTCCAGATGGAGGGTGCTAGTCTTTCGAGTACAACTGATGAGTCTCGAGTACAACTGATGAGTCTCGACTGGGTTCTGCTCGCGATGCACTCGGCTTCCCTCTAGCAGCGAACACGTTACCCGAAAGAACAAGAAGCACAAACAGCGCCGCAACCAAGGGGCCAACAGGACATTCAGAATCACGGAAAGCAGGTACGGTACGCCGGATTGATCAGATCCGGTATCCTATGACTGAGGTAGCTTCGTTGAGTGCGGTCCCTCAGTCATGCCGCACTCCCCTGCTACTAATAGTGGTGACAGGGTATTCTGTCACTCCGCACACACACACACACAAAACACATACACACAGAAACACAAACACAAACATACACACAGAAACACACACGGAGACGCATGGTTCCTTTGATTCCCAACTGTCATCCCATGCGCCTCATCGGTGAGGCATCCTCCCTCCGACGTGGGGCACTTGTTCCCAGACTGGGCCGCCTGAACCAAAGGCGTGTTTTACCGGAAGAGCTTCCCCCAGAACACCGGAACGCATCTTCCAACCGGTGGACAGCGTCCACGCACCAGCCGTGGTATTCAGGGGGTGTCATTCATCACAACTGGTCCAGGGTTTTGCCCGTCCACAATGAGAGCTGTAAGCTCGCACTGACTACAAGGCCAAATTAAGGAAACCCCTTCATCATGGGCGAATCGGTCGTCTTACCCCTGAATTGATGTGCTCGCCAACTAAGTTGGGCTTGTGATCTTTTGAGGATGCTCCTTTCAGGTTGGTTGAAGGGAAATCCAAAGGACTGCGACCCATTTGCGGGGCTTTCCTCTTTTGACACAATCTCCCTAGCTCCTCCCCCAATTCCATGTCCTCAGGTAGATGTGGCAGCGCTTAAAGGCAACCAACCAAAAAAATAGAGAGCAAGCGCGCTCCCCCCCCCCCCCCCCGAACCGCCACAACTCCCCCCCAAAAAAGAAAAACTAGAAAAGAAACACCACAGCCACAGGATTGCGCTATGTATGTATATATAGGGACAAACAGGGCCCTACTGAATTCAGCAGCAAGATATTGACCGCATGACTGCAGCGCCAAAGCGCACCAACACCTTGACCAGCCCAAGCAGTACCCTGGCCAATACCAACAACACAGACGGCATCGAAAAGCGAGCGGCACCTTGAGCACACCAAGCAGCACCTTGACCAGCTCGCCAAGCAGCACCCTTGCCAACACCCTGACCAAGTTGACAAACAAGCACCGCCAGCAACCGCCGCAGCTCTGCACCCACTCACAGCAGCACCTTGGCCAGCTCCAAGTTGCATCACAAACCAGCAACCACCACAGCACTCAGCACGCAAACAGCACCATGAGCAACAAATGAAAAAGAACCCTGACCAGCAACATAACCAGCACCCTGACCGCGCGCAGCGCCAAACAAGCAGCGCACAAACAGCACCCAGACTGCAGCGCAACAAAATAACACCGCACAGCACCCCTGACCAGTACCTGCATGCCCCAATTTCGCAAAACAAACCCCACCTCTTTAGCAAAAGCTATCTGGGGGATCTGGGAAAAAGAGCAAAACTAAACGACGGTGTTGAGATTTGAACAAACTGGCGTTCTTGTCTTCCTGTCAAATCATGCTTCGAAATCAAGGGAACTGAAGAAACAGGAGTGTCTGTCTCAAAATGGGACCCATCACCCTGGGATTGAAAAGGGAAAAGGGAAAGAACAGCGCCCAATTAAACCTCTTTCCGATTAACGTGTTCTTGGACCGGAGCGCGTTCATCGGAAAGAGGTCCCATTTCAAAGACCCGGCATGTGCCTCAGAGGCGCGAGGCTCGGACCAGGTCCACTAAAGTGACCTCGTCAAAGTTATCTCCTAAATATTCTTTCAGGGAAAGCACCCCTGGCTTAACAAATGCCAGGATTAACAAACCCCTGGTCGGTAGCCCAGATTAACAAGCCCCTGGTCGGGTCAAAAATGACATGTCCTTGTAGTGGGGGGCTCATGACTTTTTTGGAGGGCACACCCCCGGATTTATAGAAACGGGTTTTTAATCCGCGTTCAACACCATCCCTGCCTCAGTGTCGCCGCCCACGGCGTAGCCGAAGCAGAAGCCTCGATTTCAACTACCCCACCACCACTAACCTTCTACCTGCTTAGGCTCTCCCGAGTTCTCGAATAGCACTGGGAGGAAGCAGCATACATCCCAACTAGGGGCCCCATGTTGGATGAGTTTTTGGCTTCACTGCCACTAGAAATCAATAAAGAAGCGTCCAAAACAGATACCCGTGAACCTGCAAAACCGAAATAAATTGCACCACCCTTGCGCCGGGGAATTTGCATGGCCAACATGGCCTGGAGACATCAGGGGTTATGGATCATCTAAGTCTGCTCGTCCAGGGGGCAACGCAACTCTTGTGCCCACTTGAAGAAACCTGAGATAATGGGAAACTTCTCATCCCCACCGACATGTTTCTTGGCCTTCCACTTTAAGAGACCCGGACAAGTATGCCAATCACCCTTGTTTGTTCTACGGCGCACCAAACAGGGCACGACACTGACCACCCTTGAACCCCGCAGCCCCCTTGAACTGCACCCTTGCACCCTTGCACCCTTGCACCCTTGCACCCCGAACACTCCCCCAAGTTAAAACTCGCGGCTTTTCCCTCTGACTCATGGCCTTCAACCCTACTGGATGCACAAAAAAACTCTACCCCAGCCGAGCCCTGGAATTTCTGATTCGACTCCCCCTGTAAATTTACCCCACGCACCGATCGGGCTCCGATTTCCGATCGAACCTCGGCCCCCGGGGCCCCGGGCCGATGTGCATCCAGCAGTTCCCGAAGGAGGCCTTCGCGGCGCAGCCGGGCCCCGCGGGCACCGCCTCGCGGCTTCGCTGAGCACGGCCGAAGGCCGAGGGCCGAAGGCCGAGGTCGGTGAGGTCAGAGGGTGCGGTGAGAAGCCCCGTGGGTGGTTCTCTTTTGGTTTTGTTTGCAGCTATTTCTTTCTTTTCCTTCTTTCTTTCCTTTTTTTTTTTTTTTTTTCGGGGGGGAGGAGTGTTGTTTTTGGTTGTTTTTTGGTGTGTGGAGAGGGCGGATGTTCCAACGGATGTGTTTTTGGGGTGAACTGCAAACCGGAGCCTTCATTTGGCCGCTTTGCTTAACCATGTTTTTGTGCAAAGAGGGGGGCGGAGATCCCAAATGAGCTCGGCGAAATGCAAGACACCGGAGCGAGCCTTTCGTTTCAGGGGAAAGGGATCTTGATTGGAAGGTGTTGGTCCACTTTGTGAGGGCCTTTCCTGCAACCTCCGTCGTTGATTGTGGATTTGTCCGGTGGAACTTGTTGGGGCCTAAGCACCAAACAGCTGGATATGAGAGGGGGAGGGATCTCCATTGGAAAGTATTGGACACCTCTCCATTGGTCCCAACACAGCTTCCCTCTAATTGGTGGTTTGGGTTGGTGGGTTGGAAGGATTTCCCATGTATCTTTCAACAAAAGCCAGGGGTTCAACCCCACCACAAACAGCATCCGCGATCCGACAAAGAAAACGTTTTGTGGGTCCAATGGAAAATCCGACCTGCTTGACCCCAAAAGCTTTCCAGTCCAAAGATCTGGTACCAAATAGCCATAACGGCTAAGCCCCAGCAAGGCCGCCGCCCCCCTCCCCCCCCAAAAAAAACAAACAAAAAGACCTCCCCCCCCTAAACAAAAAAACAAAAACCGGAAAAACAAAAGAAGAAGCAACAACTTACACAAAAAAATGCGGCCCGGCGATCGCTGGCTCTTCGCCGAGGGTCACAGCAGCTCCAGGCGGAGCTTCGGCAGGGGTGGGAGCCGCCGGTGAGGGCCGCGCAGGTCTTGTAGCAGAGGCCGCCGTACTCCTCCTGCCGTTCACGGGGCGTTGTCTTTTGTCCCGTCCCAACAAACATTGGTTCGTCACTGGGTGTCTTTCCCGTGAAAAACCCAACAAGCACAAAGGTGGTTTTGACCCCTATGAAGATCAACCTCCCAAAAGAGCACCCTGAAAAACAAGGAAACAAAGAAACAAAGAAACAAAGAAACAAAGAACCAAAGAACCAACCCAGCCAGCCAACCACCCACCGTTGAAACCGCGTGAGGAAGCCTTTTAAGGCAAGAGGAAACCTGGAAGCTCATTCAAACCTAAGGAGATAGGCTTTTTCTAAACTCCTCGGCGAAACAGAGCCGTACAACGCAACCTTGAAGGAAAATGAACTGTTTTTGGTGTCCATGAAAGAAGCTGCTTTTTGTTCTTCCGCCGCTCCCCAGTTGCAAACAGCATGGTAACAAAGGGGGAACCAATGCTTTTGTAGCACAGGACCAAGGGCCCCCCCTCCCCCCCCCCACAAAGAGAGCTCACAAATGATCCTTCAAAACTCCCTGAACAACTCCCTTGCCTTTTGTGTCAAGGGGATTCTCTCGATCGGCACTTTTGGGTCCTTCGGAAACATTGAAGCCCTTAGCAGTCTTGTGAGGGGGGGGGGCCATGGCACCTCATTTGATCTTTGGGTGAGGGGCCCCTTTTGCGGCTCCTGCAGAGGAAAACGGAGGGGCGGCTGGAAGCTCTTCAAAACAAGCTAAGGAGATATACCAACAAGGGTGGTCCAAAGGCCCCTGTCACAAGGCTCGAAATGTGGGTATGTTTAAAAAAAAAGCGAGCCTTTTGCGGGCATCATGTAGGGGGTGTCATGTCATGTCCTCCAAGCACCTTTCAGGCGGTTGGAGAAACTACTCAGCTTCCATTCGGCCAACCATTGCACCACTTTTTGGGGGAAAGGTTGAAATGTCTCACAAGGTTGGTCGAATGACAAGCCTGTACTCCTTTCAAGCTTGGGCCGGAGCTTGGGGGAAGCACATGGCTATGTCAAAGAGGCTGCGTGTTTTCAAACCAACAAACTTCCTTTTGGGCTGTGGATGTTAGGGAAACCAAAGGCAAACCAAGGGGAAACCAAACGAAGCAAAAGCACAGCCCAAACGGAGGGAATGAGGCGTAACAAAGGTAATCAAATGGTCTACCCAGCACCATGCAAAGAATCTGAAAAAGGAGAAAGCTGCTGCACCCATTTATGGTTGGGATTATCCTTGCTGGTGAGCAGGGAATGAGGGAATGACCCTTATAAAACATCCAACTGGTGGTTTCCTTTTTGGGGGACCAATTCCTGGCGTCTCCCAATTGCCCCGGTGCCTCGTCGTCCACGCCTCGGAAAGGGGGGGGGGTATGGACGGCAGAAACATGGGGAAGATCGTCCAAAAGCGCTTTCCGTTGGGCTTCTTGTTAAACCCCCCCCCCATAGTGTCCTTGTGGTGTCCGTCTTTTTCGCCACCCCACCCCAAGGAAAACATGTACCCTCCAAAAATACAGACCCAGGGAAAACACCCAAAGAGGATGGGTGTCCCATGGTTAGTCGTATAGCCCCTTGTCAGGGGTCGCTCCAACAAAACACCGAGGTTTGTTTCCGCGAACATGGAACCCACCAGAGTGTTTGCATCTATTTTTCTGGCTTTAAAGGGAAGCAAAGGGAAAACCGGCATTTGTGGGGGGCTCTCCTACAAAAGACACACCCATTTTGAGAAAGTTGTCTTCCAGGACTGACAGTCGCCTTCCATTGATGGGAATGGGACAGGCGTCCCAATGTCAACTTCGGACGAAATCTGGAGCACCATACTTATCAGGTGTCCACGGTGATCTGTTTTCTTAGGGGGCTTCCTTCGAGGAATATTAATGCTTCAAAAAGAGGGGCGAAAAAACTTACACGTGCTAGTGCCCAATGGTCGTGATATGAGTCGGCTTAATCATACCTCCCAGAACCCCATTCCAACTTTTGGTCCTCCAGATTCATCCAAAGCGAGGCAAACTACATGCCTCTGATCATACGTGGAGAATCTCCAAATATAGTAATTTCATAAGAAAAGAGACCTTAACCTCCCTGCTTGCCGAAGTTGAGTGAGTTTCTGCCCATCGGTGCAAACAAATATGCCGGGAGCTCAGTATGTGCAACTGGGCAGAAACTTGACTTTGTGTCCTTCGCATTTCCCCACGCACTCAAGTTCTTTCCTTGTGGCGATGGCTTCAAATGGGAGCAACCCCGTTAACTTGTCCCAACTCCGGGTCACAGCTTGCGTTTCATATGCCTGTTTCCTTTTTTTGTGGACCCGCAAACAAAGGGAAGGAAAACCAGCAGGACCACCCACCCAACCTGTTTTGGGAGCCCCCTAAAACACGACACGCCCATTTGTCTGCCGAGGCGCAGGGGTCGCCGTCCTTGGCCGCCTGGCCAGGAATCCCCAAGTCCTCAACCCCTTGATTCAAAGGATGCGCATTCTTTGTTTCTATGCGAACTGCTTGATGGGCGTACCCCATGTTACAAGGTGCCGCCATGTTTTTCAGATGGGAAAGGTGGAACAAAAAGTCACCGGACAAAATAGCTCACCCTTTCTATGGGGCTCCTTTACCTAGAATACCCCCGATGAATTTGCCATTGGAGCCTGGGTTCCTACGGAACCCGCCAGCGAATCAGACGTGCAATCCAAAGGCTGGAGTGTTTCTTCCAGAGGCTTTTATTCATCAAATCCCCGCCCGCCATTCTGTTTGGTTCCCACTTCGTACCGGACCCCAAATCCTGTATGTCCCTCAAGCAGCGCTCCGGACACACGAGTTCACCAGGGTCGAGCTAGCTAAATGGAACCCAGGACAAAAACCTGCGGTCCAGATCCTGGTGGTCTAATTTTGGCCCATACCCAAATCCACACCCCAACAACCGGACAGTACTTGGGCCAAGATCAATTGCCAGCTCCTGTTTGTTTTTCTTTTTTGGTTGGCCCTGTTCAAGAGTCCTGGTTCAAACCTCCCTTATCGGTTGCGTTTTCTACGGCCGGACCGCTTGGAACCTCCCGCCTTGGGCGCCAGCGGGGAGTCCCGGGGGTCCTCCGTCACCGTCTTCGTGGCCACCGGCGCCGCCGGCGCCGCCGGCACCGCCGGCACCGCCGGCGCCAGCGGCGCCACCGGCGCGACCGGCGGCACCTGCCGCGTCCGTACCCGGAAGTCGTAGGCCGGACAGGGAAGACGGGTGAAACCCATGGGAAAGGTGTGGGGCTTCCAAAACCCTGGCGGCTGGCATAATTCGGAGGGTCGAAAAACAGAACGCCTTTTCGGATTCCACATGGAGATCTGAAAGGACAAGCCAATTGCGTGAGGGGGATATGCCACTGATTTTGAGACACAACCAAATAGGACTGATGGGTTCTCTGCGACCTGGGAACCCGCTGCTCTGAGGTTGTTTTTCAAAGGGCAGCCAAAAGAAAACCACTTTTGCAGGTCATGTCCTTCTTCCTTGGCTGCCCTCAATATTCAAGTACATAAGGGAACAAGTTTCGGCAGTTTAAGAGAACATGCTAGGGGGACGTTTTGCGCTTGGGTGTGTTTGTTCTGGGTCGCTTCAAAGGAAAAGCGGGCCGCATTCCGGAGCCTTGTTTTTGCGATCTCCCGAACTCGTTCCCTTGAATTGGTGCTTTGCATTGGCTTGGAGCTGTGGAGGTTTGGAGGTGCAATGTGCCTGAAAAACCCCTCATCTCATCAAATGTGCCGATAGTCCAAACTGCTTCTGTAGGCTATGGTCATGACCCCCTTAGCAGGAATCCAACCAAATGGTTATCTAAACTCCTGAGGGGTTGACGTCCATCTCCAAGTAGATCATTCGACCATACCAACGAGGATCCACATCTTGCACGTTCGCCCCTGGAACCCTCGCCTGCTGGCCCGACTCGACTGGGAAAGTTACATTATGGCAGCTGCTACGTTTTGGAACCAGGATTGTTGGCATGGTTTTGCCTTTCCTGCTTGATAACATCACCAGGAAACTTATGAATACATCCGGCAACCACAGAGTGGGAATATGAGCAACGATCCACCTTCAAACCCAAATGCGCGCCAGGACATGGGTTGCAAACTCCCCAACATCAGGGTGTCAGGGCAGCCATTTGGTCATTTGGCACGCGTAGTGGAACCAAGGATTCTTGGCCTTTTTGGTGCCGTCTTCGGGGGGAGAGGTCCCGGTTTCGAGGGGCATGAACTTCTCCGTCGGTCACTCAATGCCGGATCCGCGGCTGAAAGGGCCAGGGCATATCTGAAAAGTTGAACTTGTAGCGGGATATGGGCGTGTCTCCCTTTCTTTTTCTTTTCTTTTTTTGGGGGGGGGCACCCCCCCCAAAAGTGCTTATGGCGTTCCTTTTGGCTTTCTTGTGAAACCACCAGAAAAGGGGTACCCTCAAAAAAAGTCACACCAATATGTCATAGACCCCTCTAAACTCGACTACGCCTGGGAACCGCTCTTGGCCTATCAATGTGGGACCCTAGGGCTGTTTTCCCTTGTGCTCAGCAGGGAATAAGTTGGAATGACACCGGGAAAAAACAACTATGAATCCTATGGCTTCCTGTAAGGGAATCCCGACTTGGTCCTTCCCAACCTCGGAAGGTCATTCCCTGAGAACCAGCAAGTTCCCTTCTCGTGGAGTTCTGTTCTATTTAAATGCTCCGAGTTGCCTTTTTGAGCATACCCTGAAACCCGTGCATTGGGTTCTTGGACTTCGGTTCACGATCATCCCGCTCTTCCGAAAGGACCTTTCCGAGGAGAAAAAAGGCGCGAACTCTCCGCCGGGCCCACCACACTGTTCACAGCCTGCTTCGCCTGCGGAGAAGTCTTGGCAAGGGGCGGCGACGTTGGATGGGTTTCAGCCTCTAGTTCATTTAGTAGACCGAGAAACTGAAGACAGTTGCTCGCAGAAGTTACCCTACTAAAGGAAACCGGGATTAATCAACCCCTGTTGGTTCATTGGGTGTCCGATTCATCATAGTTGGAAGACTGGGGTAACGGTAGTTTTAGTTGGTTCCCTTTAACTATGATCGTGACCTACTGACTAGGCTAGACATCCAAGTGCGAACTGGGTATGATGGCATTTAACCTAGGGATGTTTTGGTGAACATCAGCAATACATGGGGCTTGACCAAAGGTCCTTTACATGGGTGGCCATTCGGAAAACCACAACGAAAGATGACTAAATCACCACATGGGAAAAGCGACCCGTGGTCAAAACTGGGGGCCGAAGGGAAGATGGATCAACCCCCAAATGTGGCTTCACGATTTCCAGATGGTCTACTGAAAACATGGACTCGCCAAGGTTCAGCCACAGGGACGGGCCCGAAATGTCCCATGTCCCGAGATTTAGTTTCTGCGACCATTTCGAAGGTTCCCTATCAAATCTCAAACAATGCTTGAATCTCTTCCCCCCGATTGGACTGAATCCATCGGCACGGAACCGAAGGCCCTATGTTCTGCCCAACCCACACCAAAAGGCCCCAACAAAACGCATGGGAAAGTGTCCTATTTGCCGACTGCCAACGAACCTTTCGGTTCTCCGGTTCGCGCGAGGGTTTGTGGGCATGCCCGAACGCGACGCAGTCGGCGCACGCGCTCCTGGTCCTGGATCTTAGAGGCATCCTTCTTCAGCATGTTCGCGATGCTCTCCAGCTGCCTAAACGCGAAACGCGAAACGCGCGTTTCGCGCGTTTCGCGCGACTCCGGAGAAATGGGACAAGCATCGATGTTGCCAAATCCTACAAGCCCCCTTACAAAGCAACAGTAGACTACCAATCATATTGTCAGACTCAGGGGCCATGAACCAAACCATGAACGAAACACTGTGTAAAGCTTGTGGGTTTGAGGGCTAGGAACCTTCTCGGCCCGAACCTCATGTGTCCCCCAACTGACATGAGATTTTGGTGAGGAATTTTAGGATCCTCACCACGAGTCATCTGAGTTCACATTCCGATGCTCTGGGTTCCAGGAAACGTGGACAAGCAACAGCCCAGCGAAATTTATCTTAAACGCCTAACTAACTACACACAAATTCACTTGTGATCATTAACTCATTGGTCTTGAAGTCCCTGATAAATCCCATTCTAACATCTTTTGTGCCCTTAGGACATCGTTCTTGCGTGAGTGCTCCCTAGACAGCCAAGCTGCTGCCTCTTAGACCCTCTTCCCTCAAACCAGGCAGCATTGTTGGGCAATGCAACTGGCGATCTTCAGAGTAAGTGATGAGCTACCTCTGATAGCCAGTAGTGAAGAACACGTCCTTTTGCGAACGTACAAGGTTACCCTCCAAAAAGAAACCAAAGGGTGCGGATTTATTTTCGGATTTGTTTGCTTTTCGTCCGGGCCAGTAAAATGTCGTATTTTACAGCATTTTCTCGCGAAATTGACGCATTTTACACTAGCCCGTCAACATCCCCAGCATCGTTTTCAACATCCCTGCATTGGTAACAAAATCAAAAAAGTAGCTGGCGGGTTGACGGGGTCAAAAAATGATGATTCAAATAGGAGGGCATTTCAATCCCCAAAAAAAAAAACGTAGCGGGGGGTTTGTGGGGGGGGGGGGGGGGGGCGGCAGCCCCCCCATGATGCTCGCAGAAGTGATGATTCGAATAGGGGTGCAATTAAATATCTGCAAAAAGTCTAAAAAGTAGCGGGGAATTTGGGGGGGGGCGGGGGCAGCCCCCCCCATGATGTTCAAAGAATTGATGATCCAACTTGCAACTAAATCTCTGTAGAAAATCTAAAACGTAGCGGGGGGGGTTGGGGGGGGCGGCAGCCCCCCCCCCATGATGTTGGAATCCGTGTCGCCTTTCTGCGGAACAAGATCGGGCAAGACCGTGGAATGGCTGACCAAACGGCGGAAACGCCAACCTTGAGCTGGCTCCATTGCAGTGATAAGTTTAACCACCCGAGTAATTTTCAGAACCACTTAACATACTAACTTTGAGGTGGCCTCTTTTGGGCCGGTTTCATTGAAACTGTCAAGGGACCCCCAGAGGACGGGCCCGAAGAATTAAAGGACCGCATGCCTAGCTTGTCGTAAAGCGACGGTAAGTCGAGTGAGTCAGAGGAAGTACGTGTAGGTGGAGTAAGTGAGAGTGAGAAGAGTTGGAAGCCAGTGCGTGTAAGTTGAGTGAGTGCAAGTCAAAGCAATTGAAAGTCACTGAGTGTAAGCTGAGTGAGTGAGTGAAAGTGGGTGAGAGTTAGTGAGTGTAAGTTGAGTCAGCAAGCGTAAGTCTGTGCGCCACGCAAACCGACAAAGGCGAGCGCAAAATCGGGGCGCCTGCCACGCAAACCAGCATCACACGCACGAAGTTAAGCGCCTGCTACGCAACCAGCGCGCACCCCCTCAAGCCGACTGCTCCGAACAAACCAGTCTAAAGCACGCAACCTGCCACGAAATCCAGCCGTAGAGTGCGCAAGCGAACCGCAGTGAGTGTGAGTCGAATGAGTGAAAGCAAGTATGTGTCAGTTGCGTGAGTGAGATTCAGAGTGGCGCTAAGTTTGTGAGTATAAGTAGGTGAGCGAGAGCAAGCACAAGTTCGTTACGGGTGAAAGTATGTGTACGTTGCGTGAGTGTGAGGTTAAGTATGTGTAAGTGCGGAGTCGGAGAGGATGCAAGGAGGCGGCGGAGCAGCGGGGACGAGATTAAAAGTAAGAGCCCACACGAAGATCTAAGATGCGGGGAAAAAGAAGTGATTTTTGATGGCGCAAACTGGGGGCGGGACCTTTGGTGGACATTTACAAGGGGATTCACGTCCACCAATGAATTATGAGCATGTTACCAATGAAACATCCCTTATGGTTTCCTTTAAGGTAATCCTGACTTGTTCATTCCCAAACCCGAAAGGGCATTCCCTACCGAGCACCAGCAAGACCATTGAACTTCACAATACCCTCCCAAAACAAACATGGTCCTCAGATTAAAAGTTTAAAACTTGTGGGTTAAATTCGGCAACCCAACCACAAAACCAACTAGACACCACTAAAAAAATAAACGAACCGGACTGGGAACTGCCAAGCAACCCGAGGTGCTTCCAAGGCGCTTCCCCTGCTGCGAGTTGGTGCCCAAAGACTGCGCCTCCTGACCGGCACGCAGACCCAACTTGGGATCTCCAGAACCTGAAAAACTTTGCTTTTTCCCCAATTTTGACTAGGTCCTCCAGTAGAGAGGTTAGAATAAGGCTGCCCTTTTTTCTGCAGTCTATTTTAGCAGGGGAGCCCTCCCCCAAAAAAGGGTAAAAGGGCACTACTGGGGGACCTAGTCAAAGATGGCAGGCAGAAGGTTTCGGGCCTCAAAACACGTGGCTCTTTCCCAAAAGAATGTCACAGATCGGATCCGAGGAGGTTTCGGTGGGATGGTGCCGTGGGCGGTTCTAAGGAGGGCTCCGCAACGGCGGTTCCGGGGATGTGGCGGCTCCGAGGAGGGTTCCTGGCTTTAAAACCACTCTGTGAATGCAAAGGTTATGTACCCCCTCCCCGTTCTTGCCTGGTTTCTGGTAGACAACTTGCCTCACTGGCAAATAAGTGGGAGAACTTTTGCCAAGTCTAAAGTGGCCGGGGCATGATAAACAATCCGCTTAGGCCCGTGAGGCCAAGTGAGTCGTAATCAAAACCGATCAATAGCCTACCCAAAACCAAGGGCGGCCGCACCGATTTCTGGCTGGGACTGTCGCAAACTTTGACTTACCCGGATTTTGATTGTCGCTCAAGTGGTGATCTAAAATCAAGGAGTTGCATGTTTGATCAGTTTGGAGGTGAGGTGCAAGAAATGTCAGCCTTTTCCCGGCCTTACCAGCCCAACCGATGCCCTACAGGAGCCTATGGTACTAACGTGGAACCCGGCCGAGTTTTGGAGAAAAAGAAAGTCGAGACAACCCCTTTTAGCCCGGTTCCACGGCCGGCTGAAAATTCGGTGAGACCTGGGTGCTACACACCCAGCAGTTCAAACAACCTCCTCTTGGATCCATAAGCTGTGGGTCTGGTGCACCTGAGAAAATGACCGGTGAGCTCCCCCGAAACTCGTGTTCTCCTTTTGACCAAACCTCATAGTCCTGCCACGAAAAGCCGAGTTCGATTTGAAAGCAACCCGCAGGTTCCAACCATGCGCCGCACCAATGGGGAAACCCCATCCTTCAATGGGGAAACTTGGAGCCATTGGTGCGGCGGCCCCACGAAACCAGCCGCGAGTGAGCGCCGCGGGCTCGGCAAGTTCGGTCCTTGAGGAAGTTGCTCGCCATGTCGCTCATCTCCTTGGACCGCTTCTCCGCGTCTGCGGAGGCCTCGGTCGATACGCGGATTTCTCCGCTTGAGACACCGGAACTTGTCTCCCGCAAGCAACCCTGGAAACTCAAGTCACGGTACATCGCGGCCTGACTTGATCAACCCACAACTCGAACGTAGAACACGGAAACGCGGTTCGAAACGCAAGCATCCATCTCCTGCATATTTTTGGGAATCCCCCTGGCGTTTTCTCACGCTCCTTCCGATTTCCCCGGCTTTTCGGTGAGCCCATTGGCCATGGGCTTCCGGGCGCCGTCCATGGCGCCCTGCACTCCGGCGGTGAGCCCGTTCACCGTGCCCTGGACGCCCGCGTGGGCGCTGTCCACAGCGCTCTGAAGGCCGGTCTGGGCGCTCTGCAGCAGCGGGGCCTCGGATCGATGGCAGCTCCGAGCTGCGACGGAAGGAGCTGACTGGTGAGACAGAGCCAGTTTTAAGGGCAAAAATGCAAACCGGGGAGGACAGTCAGAGGATTTGGGTGTCCACCAACCACTGAAAGTCACCTGTTGGCCATATGTCCCCTAAAATCACCTCAAGAAAACCCAAGGCGATATGGAAAACCCTGATCCACCCGGCTCAAGAAACATGTATAGCTCTTCGGTTTACTTAGAAAACATCCCATGGTGAATGACTTGCTTCGGGAAAATGAACCAAAACCCAGGAGAATGGTGTTCATTGAACGGGAATTGTTGTGGACCTTCAGATCGTTCTCTCTTTCTAGCTACATCATGGGAACATGGTGGTTATGTGGTTACCTGATCCAGGGGTTCACTCGAATGTAAACCATTCCCACCCCCAAGACTACTCTTTCCAACCTGTGGTATGTCAGGGAAGAAGAAATAAACGCCACGAGCCTCTGCAAAGGAAGAGAGCCCAAAATGCGGAAACAAAACCAAAACTGCCCTGCAAAACCATGAATCACAGGGACTTCCTTGGAGATTCGTTTTGGAGTCGACATTACGCCGTCCTCTTGCCAAAGGGGGGTTGAGGGTTGAGAGTCAACCGCCCGCTTTGGTGGCCCAACCCCAGCCGGCTGTGGCTCAAAATGAAACCACCATAAAACCACGGGTTTTTAGTTTCCATGTGTCCACTTACCAGGGCCCCCATTTTGGGCTTCGCCGAGTTTTGAGCTACCCCAGCCCAGCCCACCAACCCCAGCCCACCCCCAGCCCAACTTCGACCAAAGAGCCACGTCCGGCATCTTCAAGGCCTCGGAAGCCGAGACATGGCCCAGCAGAGGCTGTGGGAGGCGGATTGATATGGAGGGCCAAAGCTGAGAGACGACCCCCGCACCCCCTCCAAGGTTCGGTCGCAGGGAATGGTTCTGACAACCCTTCCAGGCAAAGCTGTTGACTTCGGATTGATCCGGAGCCCCGTTGTGATCAGAGGTAGCTGGCACTTATGGGAAAAGGTTGTGTATGGTCCTCCTCCTTGATTTATTCCGCGGTCAATAATCCAATGTTCAGTATGACGCGAGGTTAACATTGGGTACCTGACCCCGTATATCTCCCCTAAAAACATCCCCGACCCATAAAAACTCACTTTGAATTCCGCAAAGGCGATGAAGCACCCTTCAAGGGAAAAGATCAGGTAGCCTGCCACTCGGTCCGATGGCAATTTAAAGTACGTCAAATCCAGGCAGCCACATGGTGTTCCTGAAATCCCGCGATCCCATGTTGAGGCCTCGGCCCCGTCCGGTCCCGGGGTTGGCATCTGCGGCAGCTCGATCTTGGGCATCTTGGGCAGCTCGATCTTGGGCATCTTGGGCAGCTCGATTTTGGGCAGCTGGAAGGGAGCTGGGGCCTAAGCGCCCGGAAACGGGGAAAAGAGCAATAAAAAAAATAACTAAAGTGAGGTAAGCGAGAAACACACTAAACAAATTGGGCGTGATGTGTTCTCCTTTGGGAGGAATAAGGGAGCATCGTGGGAAATCAAAGAAGCAGCTCAGGTTCTACACGCTCCCTTCATGTGCTGAAATAGTTATTGTTCAAATGCAAACCTCCCCTATTGGGGCATCCCACCACAATGATTGCCGTAGAATCCAGGAGAATTTCTGAGGTATGGAACTGTTGTGCCACTTGCATGAAGGATATACACTTCATCACGAACGAACTTATATTTCCATATGAACATGGTGCTGATAGAAAGCTGGATCGAATTCGCAGTGAATGAACAAAAGATCGATCGCCTGTGATGGCAAACGATCATTTCCAAACGATGTTTCCTCAAAGATTCCTTCGTTTCTGTTGCACGGGGTGTGGTAGATTAGCGCCCCAGCTGAACGCTGACGCCCAATGCTGAAAATGGTTCCAAAATCGTTCCTAGCAGTTGAGCCGTTCCAGTTGTGCAGAAGCGAACTTGTGACTCGAGTCTGGTACCGCGCGCAGGCCGACCAACAGGAAGACCCTAATTGTGGGGAATTCCCATGAGCAGTTTAAAAAGTTGCTTCTCAGTACCAAGACCCCCTGCTCGAATAGCCAAATGGGGACGGGGGACTAGGAGGTTCAGACAACCTATCCAGAGCCTGGCTACCACGTAGGTTGGGAAATGTTGGTTTCACTAACCCCTTCAAATGACAATGCTAACACCCGACCGTGGTCTTGTGGAAAGCCAATCAAAAGGAAGGATGACTTCAGAAAGCTCCAGTTAAGGGGTTGACCCCCCACCAATTTGGAGTTTTATACATGCGGCTTTACATGGACGCTCCTCCCACAGCAACAGAGCCAGGTGTTTTGACCGCAAAGCAACATAAAAACGCCTCAGCTCGTTGTGTCAGCAACGAGTCACAGTCACGACTGTCGAGTGCAAAGAATTGGGTGCGCACATGTTTCGGGTGGAGGCATGGGCTTGTTTCAAGATTCTAAGATGGGAGAACCCCCATGTGTGACTTTCCCCTGCGTTTCCCCCAACGGACTCTCTGAAAGGCAGTGAGCATATATCCTCGTATATCCTATTCGGGCGCTTGTTCGATCAGGGGCAACGGCTCGAACCCTGCCAGGACTTTGCCTTTCTCAGAAATTCTCGAACCGGGTGCACCATGTGAAACACCCACGCAACGTCTCCATGAGTTTTCATTACCCCGAAAGGATCGGATCAGATGACTGCAAACCTCGGCATCTCTCTGGGCTTCCCAGCCGGCGCGCCCTGACCCGGGACGCTTTGGGTTTTGCATGGGCTTGTAACCTTCGTAAGGCCGCAAAGGCCTTTCGTTGGAGAAACCAGACCAAAAAACGCTTGGGGGATTAAATCTTCAAAATGGCTCGGGTAGTAGTCGTGGTGGTGGTGGTGGCGGTGGCGGTGGCGGTGGCGGTGGAAGTGGCGGTGCTGGTGCTGCTGCTGCTGCTGCTGCTGCTGCTGCTGCTGCTGCTGCTGCTGCTGCTGCTGGCGGTGGCGGTGGCGGTGGCGGTGGCGGTGGCGGTGGCGGTGGGTGGCGGTGGCGGTGGCGGTGGCGGTGGCGGTGGCGGTGGCGGCGGCGGCGGGGGCGGGGGCGGTGGCGGTGGCGGTGGCGGTGGCGGTGGCGGTGGTGGTGGTGGTGGTAGCAGTTGCAGGAGCAGGAGCAGTAGCAGGAGCAGGAGCAGCAGCAGTAGCAGCAACAACAACAACAGCAGCAGCAGCAGGGTAGTAGTTGTGGTTGTTGTAGTAGTAGGAGTAGTACCCTCTGCTCGCATAGCCGCCCTACACAATAATGGTAGCTGACGATCACCGAGATTTGTACTCTCCCTAAAGGCTCCAATGAAATGCGACCCTCTTCCCGAGGCAGCCTCAACACCCTTCTGTGCATTTCCTATTCCTGCTTCGCAACGGAGGATAACACCAGTTCGGCCCCTCTTGGGTCCGAATCGACCATCAAAGGTGGTTTACCAATTGTACATGAAAATCTGGGGCATCTCGGGTACACAGTAGCGACTTGGCGGCGCCCTTCAGCTGTATCGCGATGAACAAATGCGAAGTGAGCGAGCTCCTCCAACGAACCAGTGCTATAGTAATATTGATCCATCTAGGCACACCAAGAACCATGTCGTCAGATTATTTATGATATTTGGTCAACATCAAAAATATAGAATGAGAAAGAAACCCGCCGACAGCGGCATTGACCACTGCCATGCCATTTGAAGGCATCTTCAATGGCAATCGCTTCTCTAATCAAGGCAGGAAAGGTTGCCTGGTATCACAGTCCAAGACATCCTCATTCCCATAAACCGCACCCACATCCCAGTAGGGATGTTCCAACCCACTTTGTAGGATCAAGAGAGCCAACCCCGTTTCCCCGCAAAAGCTTGGTACACAGCTTTCTAGGGTCCGAAATGTGGCTGCGGGTCAAAACCAAAGGAATCATTTTGGGGGTGGGTGCACCACCCATTTTAGTCCATTTTAGTGTGGATTGGGATGTTCACTGGGGGTACGGAATTTTGACCCACGGCCATGTGTGATGAAATGATCTTTCGGATTGCTCAAGTCGGTAAGTGAGAAGCGGCTTGAGGCCGCCACGGCGGGGGCTGGCGACAGGTGCAAGGCGTCCTGCGTGGTTGTGTCCCCTCCCCACATCGGGCACTGACGTCAAACCGGTCCGTGGGTCAACTCGTAGCCCAAGTTACCCCCAAGGAAAAGAACGACAGCTAGCCAGGAACCCCCGTGAGAACCCCAACCCCAAATTCTACAGACCCAGCATTGGCGGCTTGGCGGGGGGGGCTTTTTTGATCGGCGGCACCTGCAGGGTACCGGAAGGAACCAGCCGACACCCATAGCGGGCACCCTGTCGCTGAAATTGCATTGTGCGTGTGAAGTGTGCGTGCAATGTTTAATCCCTGACCAGGGCAAACAAGCAAAGCTGTCGGTCAAAGCAATTTCCTACCAGTCCCAAAACAAAGCAACAACGAAATGTGTTTTTTGGCGTACGGGTTGGGTTCATACATTGAGCCAACCTGTTCCATCTCACATGGACCTTTCCGGGCTCGGCCAAAGGCCAGGAGTTCACCCCCGCAAAAACTTGCCAGCTCAACTCACGAAATAGCACTGTGACCCTCCAACATGCCGCGACTGCTATGCAAATCAGGCGTGCTAAAGTGCTGCGCCTGCCACGAAATCAGCAAGTGACCCTCCAAAGTACCGCGACTGCCACGCAGATCAGTCTCCGGTGAGACGTGCTCCAAAGCGCGGCACCAGAATGATTCCGACCAGCTTTGACAAACTTTAAGCTGGCTGCCTTCCAAAGCTCCGTGCCAGCTTGGCGGGGCGCACCCTCGGCGCAACGGAAACAACATGTTTCAAGTCGTACAAATCGCACTTTCTGAGCCTTCCCCAATGGCACGGCAACTTTTGCCCCCAGCGATGGCGAACGCTTGCGAACGCTTGCGAACGCTTGCGCAAACAAATTCTGAGAACGCTTCTCGGCTGCTGTGTTTGTCTCCGTTTCCCTAGTGAAGAAACCAAAACATTCTGATCACTCGTCGTTGCAAATAGAAGAATTTCCCAAGAGGTAGAGCAGCATTGGAGAATCGATGTGTATTCATGAAGTTGGATAAGATAACAAATGGAAAGATGTCCACACGAAGGATACAAATGATAGAGCCACAAGAAACTAGAAAACGTCCAAAAGAAAGAAAAAATAAGACTTCATGTTGCTTAGTTAAGTCTCTTAAAAAAAAAAAAAAAAAAAAAAAAAAAACTAGACCAAATATGACAACTAGAAATAAATGTATTGCAGAAAAAGACAAAATAATACATGAATAATTCTATGAGAAGTGAAACCTGTCCACCAATGAATTGTGAATCGTGTGAAGACACATAGAAATATGAATTTGTAAAGAGTCATAAGACAGAAATATCACTAAGAAACAACATGAATCTGATGTAGCTTCTGAATGTATTGCTGTTAAACATAACAGAGTTCTAAACAAGAAGTAAAGAGAGATAACGATAAGTCAAGAATGTTGAAGATGGACAATGACAAGGAAACAGACAAAACTATACAATAAAGGCAAGTGAATGAGCGTCCATGAGAGATAAATGCGTGTTGGATGATTTCTTCCTTGGCAGTTAATGGTCGAGAACTCTTGATTATAGACGCTCGTCTGCCCCTTCCTTGACTTGCTTGTTTGGTTTCATGCCATCTTTCCCCGCCCTGTCATTATTCTGAAGAAACATAGGCCCGTGCGAAGAGCAAGTAACAAGATGGTGTCTTCTGGATTGTTGTTAGGGGATAAGACAAATACAAAGAACAGATACATATATATATATAATGGAAATTACAAGACCGATAATAAAATGATAACATATAAACAAGATACAGACAAGAAGAAGGTTCTAATAATTGCATGTCGAGATACGACTACAAGATACAAAGTTGTCTACGGGAAATTGACCACCTGTGAAAAAAGAAAAAGCGATTCGGAAACAGGAAGTACAAACCTTTAAATCTGCTAGATGTAAATATTATAAATAGAATAAAGTTGCGAGACTTCTCATGAAGCAAAATAAGATGAAGGTAGAAAGAAAAAAAGAAGATGATGAATCCTGTAATTTTGTCTATCTTGCATAGCTTTCAACATAGCATGGCCTAAGAACTACCATCCAGCTACCTGAGCCTCAACAGCGGCGACCCCGTCTCTCTGGCCTTGACCTGGCTTGTCGCGCTGTCCACGGCCGAGTCAACGCTGCTGGGCTTCGCCTGTCAAGATGATGAGAAGATCCCTGCCATTTCGTGGAAGGAACCGCCCTGTGGCACGACAGTCCGCAGTCTTCTGCAGTCCATCCGCAAGAATCCGCGATATACTCTGAACGGGTTTTGTATATGGGGGTGGATCAAAAGATCATGGGCGCCTTTTCCCATTTAGTGGTGAAAGTCGTTCTTTTCGTGGTTTCCCTGATGGTCATCCCATGTAAAGGACCTGTTCATCACCCCCACATAGCGCAGCGTTTCTCCTCAACTTGGTTCAACATGGGTGTTCACGGGCCATCCGGGGCACCAAATCTCAATGAAGCAAAGGGGGGGACCCTTGGCCTTGATCCCACAGTGTCTAAGACTTCTCCCAAGCTGCCGCTTCCCGCGAGAAATGTCCACGCGTCCTCCCTTTAAAACCAAAAAAAGTGTCCCTAGTTTCCTTTGCATCTCCCTTTACCAACCAAAGAGAAGCAGGAGGGCACCAAAAAAAAAAAGACGAAACCACAACCGAAGCCCAAAAGGAGGGGTTTTAACTCACAAAAACAGAAGAATTAAAAACAGAGGAGGATAAATAAAAAGAAGGAAAAAAAAGAAAAGAAGGGAACAAAAAGAGAGATTATTATATATATATATATATTTATTAAAAAAAAAAAAAAAAAAGTATATGTGTATATATATATATATAAAGAGAAGAAAACAAAAGGAAGAAGAAAAACGGCTTTTGACACACGCAAAAAGGAACCGGAAACCACCACGGAGCCACCGCCCCAGCGGAAGCGTTTTCGGCTCCTGGTCCTTGGGCTGGTGGAACAGGTTGGCCATGAGCTGCTGCGCCGCCTTGGCCGCCTGCTCCTTCACCTCGAGTCCGTCCCACTTTTTTTGGGGGGGGGGTTTTGGGGGGGGAAGCCCCGGTTTGGTGGTTTTGAAGGGAACCAACAAAGGGAAACCAAGGTCAAAACAGCCATTGTGTGTTTATTTATTTATTTATCGATTTATTTATTTATTCATTTATTTATTTATTTATTCATGTTATGTTCTTCTTCTTTTTTTCGGGGGGGTCCCCCGGAAAGAAAACGAAAACATATGAGCATCGATATTGATTGGGGACCCTTTGGTGAGGTGGTTCCCTATTAAAATCCGTAGCCATGTTATTCAAGAGGAGAGGGTTGCACCGGTGCCCCCGACAAATAACAGTTGTCCCTTGAACAAAGGTCACAAAAAGAAAAGGGCACGGAAAGGCAACAGCCCGAATTTGGCGGAACCACTAGCGAAACGCCTGAAATAGGGTCCAACTTGCATGAGATCGCTTGAAAAAGCCAGCACCGAGCAGCCCCAAAACACCAACCAAGGGATGAAACAAATATCCTCAAAGGGGGGCAAAGGTCTCCGGGAGACAAACCTCTTCGGGAGAGCCCAGGACTAGCGCTTCAGGGGGCGCTCTGACAAAGCTTTCGAGGAGCCACTCCAAGCGATCTACCTCCTGGGCACCTACCCACAGCGTCCCCAAAACAAGGTTCAATGCTTCTCATTGACCCTTGGAAACCAACACCAAGTGGTCCCGTCCAACCATTCAAATTCGACTGTGGTTTCTCGCACTACATCCGGGGCAAATCACATAGTTGATGCACGCAACATAGTTGGAATCCCCACGTTTCCATCCGCAAATCTGATTGCACAGCGACTGCGCGTAGCCTAGCTCACAGCCTAGCTCACGCAGCCTAGCCTACACCAGCCCCGCATTGGGAACAAAAGCGGTCTCCAGAAATTCTTGGTCGTTGGATTCAGCCCCCACACAAACGGTTCCCTTTGACAGGGTTCCCACCCCCATTTTGGCGAACGCCTCCCCCCCCGCCTTGGTGGACACTTAGGATCTTTGTTGCTACCTCCTTCACTTGCATTGGTTTGCTAGGTTTCTTGGCTGGTCTCCATGCCACCTTTCCCCCTCCCCCCCCCTTCCCCCAGCCAGCCAAGCCGGGAGCGAGCCCCCGGCCACGTCCGGCTTGGTGATCGGCGCCGGAGAGGGCGAGGGCTTCTCCACCGTCGCCGGGGGGGGCGCGTAGTGGGGTGCCGGGGCGGGCGCGTGGTAGGCAGGCGCCGGCGCCGGCGAAGACGGCGGCGGGGAGGGCGGCGCCTGGCGCGCGCTGTTGACTCGGCTCTCGACATGGGCGTGGGTCACAGTTCAGCCAGAAGGATAGAAGGATATGCACCGCAGGTGTCAGTTCATACGTCCAATTACAAGGGATCCATTCGGGGGTGCCATGCGCGTGCCCGGGCCAATATACAAACCCATAGTCGCAGACCGGGATGCCGGGACCCAGTCCGAAGAGTATGGAATTTTGTCACATCCCCACAGACCCACATCACGGTGATCCCGACAAACTGTGGTCACAGAAGTCATCTGACCGGATGGAAGCTCAACGAGCGTTGGCAATTGAGTGTGTTCAAAATGGCTAAGTCGTTTACCCGGGTCTTGATTGCTCTTGTTTCGAGGACAAGACCTTTTGGGCTTTCATCTGAAATTGCAGCGAAGCAAGTGGGATTCGGAAGCCTCAGAATTTTTGAGCAAACTGGTGGAATGAACATTGGGGAATGGATCTTCCTCGATTCAAGCTGATCAAAACTGCTGCAGTAAGTGGTTGGTAAGCCTGGTCAATGGCACTTACAGCCATGGTAAATGGGCGTGGTTACAACCACTCTGCCCCTCGAAGTGGGTGGGTTGGACTCTGCCCCAAACAACAGTCACCACAATTTGGTTGACCGATTGAGTCGAGTGCTTGATCCAAATGTTCATCCACGTGGTGCTTTGGCTTGGTTTCTGTTAACACCAGGTCACCCAAAAGCCGCCTGCTCCTCAGTGTCCACATTCGACGACAGCTCCTGAGAACCGTCCGGCGGATCGGCCATTCCCTTAAACTCTCGTCCCACGTCCCACTGGATGGGCCAAAACAGACTCCCAGACAGTTCGTTTACCAACCAAAATATGAGTTTCTCAAAAAGTATAAAGTTCGGGAATACAGGGAGTGTGAGAAAAAAGAGCACATTCGACAAACAACGCCAGTGGGCCACAAGTAGCCGACACAAGACTTGGCAAGGACAAACATAAACCATCCTACTTTACAGAGTTCCCTTCCCAACATAAACCAAAATTTCGGAGATCAATCCAAGGATCCAGTTCTCTCAATGCCTTGGGGTCCAAAGAAAATCAAATCGGTGCCAGCTCCGCGAAATAAACATATGGGAGCAGCGGAAGCCGGCCGTTGGGGAGACATCCCCTTGCAGGGGGAGAGCCTTGTTTGGGATTGCAGGTTGATTTGCGGAACGAAAAGATATGAGAGCATGCTTGCGACAAATATGGAAAAGGCACCTGTTGGGGGATCGTCTTCCAAAACCCTCCGCTCACCTCCGCGACTCACCTAAATTCCTCTTGAGCAAATTTGCCAGCAATGGTTGAAGCCACTGCTCTGATATTCCTCACCAAGGGATGCCCGCCTTGAGAAGAGAGGTTTGGCTGGTAGGGCATCTGGGCCATCAAAATCCCATTCTGGAGAGGAAAGCACAAAGCCTGTACAAGCGACCAGCGCAAAACGTGGTGTGAAATTGGGTCGGGGGTCTGGAACCATCGCTCTGTGATGCCATTATTTTCGGCAAAGCAGTTGCTGTGGCGACGAGAATGCCAAGCATCACGCCAGCGGATTCAACCACCAGAGGTGGCCCCGCCTTCTCTTGGTTGTACTGCTTCATAGCATCCGAGGACAACCTCGGCTTGATCCGATTTCAATCGACCTGCCTTGACTGGCCAGGAAAAGCATGCCTTTGACGATGAAGAAAAGGGCAGGCAAAACCAGAGGGTTCAACGCTTGCCTTCCCTTTCAGCAAAGGCGAAACCGAATACCCTCGCCACAAAAACCGCTTCCTTCGCCAAGGCTCTTCGTCCTCAAGGGGTGACCCATCCGATTGAGCTTCAACTTGAGTTGATCTCACAGGAACTTGGCCCATCCCAAAGCCATGGCCCGAGCCAAAGCTGTTATTAAAATCCTGGGCTTTAAAAGAAGCACCCAGCCCTTTCGAGGTCGTGTGCAGATCTTGAAGCTTGCTGAAACCTCGAACACCAAACAATGTTTGAAGTTGTTTCTCGCCCAACAATTTCCTGAGCAAGGGATCATGAGATCCAAAACCCCCCCCCCAAGAGCTTGCTTTAAAGAAAGACCAGCCATATCCTCCATCCAATAAATTACATTCTTTCATGTGGACCCCGAATTAAGCAACTGGTCCAAAAAAAGAGGGCTATTTTGCCTCACGGGTGAAGAGCTTCCTCTTGAATGGGACATCCTATTTGGGTTTGTCTCAAAAAACACGAAAGAACGAACTGGGTGGGCCTCAAAGACAGGCCTACCCATTCAAAAGGAAATCGACCGGCTTGCTAACCCTTCCAAGTACATCTCCACTCTCAAACATCCTGCACTTTTTGGGGGCTCTTCCTAGATTGTGCGCCTGGAATTTGGGTCGTTCCCCGTTTCGTCCTTCACAGTTTGGTCACTTGTCCAACGGCTTGGTCGTCTCCAGCAGGCTTCTTTAAAGCCTTCACAAGGTGCTCATCTAAACCAAATGGTAAAGGTGATTTTTTAAGTTGCCAAAATGCATCCTTCAAAAGGCGACCCTCTGAGAATCGGTGCCTTGTGTATCCTTTTTTTGGCGTCTGCTTCCTCTAAAACGCGGGGCAATCCCAACCCGGACTCATCTGGAAGCTTCTCAGAGTGCAAACTCGCTCAGCGCTGGGTTTGTCTCATGGGTGAACCCTCAGCCCCTTTTGGCTTCCCTTCAAACTCCCCCAAACCAGGGTACCCTCAAAAAAACACAACTTGACTCGAATAACCAAAGACCCACCCATCTCCCCTTCGTCTCGCTTGGCTTCCGTTCACGGAGGCCCAAATGGAGTCCTCGCTGAGCCCGATCACCTCGTGAAGTGGGTTGTGTATCGTCCCCAAAAAACATGACACAAAGGGAGCAGAACGGTGTTTTTGTTGCCGGCCCAAACAACCAAAAGGTTTCAAGGGCGGTCAAAAACAAAGGGGGAACCCTGTTACTGTCCAAAGGAGTTGTTTTGAGGTCCATGTGTCACACAGCGCTCATGAACTAGTTCCCGCTCAAAAAACATTGCACCGATCATACCCGTTTTAACCTTGTAGGGGGCAGGCATTTCGGCATGTCGGGTCCTAAGCAGTTGGACCCCAAGGGGTGGTGTACCCTCTCTTTTTGTTGGGAGGTGACTTCAAGGAAAACCCAGAGGCCATGAACTTCGGGGGAGCCCCTTTGGAAGCCCATGCTCCTCAAGATTTCCGCTTGGATTAGAGCCGATTTGTCCCGCAAATGGGCCTGGTAACCACTCTGACCCACGAGATGAACTGTGGCTCCCTTGAGTTGTTGCGAAGCCCTTAACAGGAAACCAAGGCAAGCCAGCCGATGTGTTGAGAGACGCTTACATCGTAAAGGATCCTTCCAGGGAATGTATCTGATAGACAAACTCCCACTTGGATAGTAGGTGGTTGACCCCAAGTTTTACCAACTGGTGCGGAATGGATCTTGTCTATCCACAAAAAGGACCCCTGACTCTCACCAGCTTTGAGCAGGGCTGTGGGAAATGACCACTTCTGTGATACAACAAAAAGGGCTTCCCAAAGACTAACCCCCCAGAAAAAGGAGGAGATTCCCTTGTATCACAGAAGTGGTTGGAGAAACCCCTTGATCCCACAACCCTGGCTTTGAGTAACGGTCAAGATGATGTTCACCAACCCTCGAAAAGTGGAGACCCGCCCCCAACTCTCACCCCAGCACGTTTCGCCAACCCGGTAAACCAGATCCGAACAGGTTCCTTACAGCTCTTTCAAACCTCACCGAACCCACAACTCAATGGCAATCCAGGGTGACGCTCAAAATGAGTTGACGTGCTTCAATGATCATATCACAGTCCGAGTAAAATTGAAATGACGGAAAACATGCCAAACAACTCGGACCCAAAAAAAAGACTTTGACCCACCAAAAGCATTCAACATATGCTCAGAATTTGAAAAGGATGTCCACTTGAACACCCCAAAACGAAAATGGCTCAGGATTACTCGAAACAAAACACACCCCCTCCCCAGCCCTTCATGCAAAAAAGATCTGCAAGGCTAGCTCTTGGACACCACACCACACCCTCTCTCCCCACGACCACCACCCCACAACCCCCAAAGAAACCAGCCAGAAGCAAACGCTACGCCCTCCGAGCCCCAAACGTTGCCGTTGCCCTTGCGGATCTCCTTCGCGGCTGAGGAGTGGCCCAAGCTCGAAATGGATTCGCTCCACAAAAAGGAAATGGCAGGGTCAGCGGACTGCAAAAAGTGAGCCTTCCAACAAATGCTCGGAAGACAGGAGGGTTTTGGAAGAGCTTGCACAATGTTGCCCTCCTTCCTAACATCCATGCCACGTTGAAGAGCCAGGAAACCCCTGCGTTCAAATCCTCCCCTGACGTTCACAGGACACCTTCCGACTGTCCGAGACCCTCTGCACTTCCTTGGACCGGGGGCATTCATACACCTCTCAAACTTCAGAAATGGGTCCGAATCTGAACCCAAAGACCCCAACCCAAACTCTGAAGCCACAAACTTTGTATCCTGTTTTCTTGAGGGACTCAAACAAAAAGACCGTGCCCCCTCTGCCCAACAGCCATTTCCTGCTTGCCGCTACTGCACAAACTGTTTGCCTTGGACTGCGTCCTCTTGTGCTCTGGCCCTCTGATTTCAGGTTGCCTCAAAGGAACCGAAACAGCGCCAACTGGGGGACCTATGATTGGAATAGCTATCACGAACATCAGAACAAGAAAAAAACAGAGCTCCAACGCAAAATAATCAGAGTCCACAAAAAGTCCAACAGAAGAAGCTCAATCAACATTGGGCTCACAAAAAGGCGATGTCAAAACCAGTGGTAAAAGTTGAGATGTCAGGAGTCAGCCCATGGATTTGACCTTTCTTTCGCGCGCGCGCGCACGCGCGCGACGTGGATCTCCCATGTGACCTGGCGTCTCCTCAACACAAAAGCTCTTCGATATCTTGCAACCCACATCAAAGAAAACGCCTGATTTATGTGCTTTATTTATTTTTTTCTGTTTGCTCATGTATTTGTTTGGGGGGGAGGGCATTTCTCAGATTTGTGTGGGACCTGGCCAAACCAATCCGGGCGCCTCGTGGCGGGGCAGTGCCACTGCCATGAGCGCTGCCACCAGGGTGGTGCCCAGGAGGACAAGGCCCACCACTGTCCTTCCGGCTGGCTGGCTGGCTGGGGTGGAGTGGGTGGAGTGGGGGTAGGGTGGGGGTGGGTGGGGTGGGTGGGGTGGGTGGTGGTGGGTGGGATGGAGTGGGTGTGGGTGGGGTAGGGGTGGGGGTGGGGTGGGGGTGGGGGGAGGGGGTGGGGGGAGGTGGGGGGTGGGTGGGTGCTTTGGATTTGGATGGGCCGTTGACCAAATCCCCGCCACTGCAAACCGCAAATTGGGGGAAACCTGAGAGAAAAAAGCACGTCTTCTGAACTCTCACGAAAACACCAGGCTGCAACTCACAACTCAAGTAGACCTTGCCAAAGAGCGGGACTTTGAATGGGAAGGAGACGTAGAGGCCAGGTAAACCTTCACTTTGCGGGAAACTTTCGAGAAAGAAAACGTGCAAGGTACTTGAACGTTACTTTGGTTTGGGAGCCGCGGGCTTTGCTTGGTCCCTCAGTTTCGGGGTTTTGGGAATGAACAGATCGGGATCCACCTCAGGGAAACTACAAGAAATGGCTCACTTCAGGGTCCACCGTAGACCCGGTCGTTTCTCCAGCCGTTCTATTTACCTCCACGTCCAAAGAACAGCATGGAGGGGGAGGGGGGGTCAAACAAGAAGCATAGGTGTCCTTTTAGGGCAAATAGATGGCCTTGTTTCCACCAAAATAACCAACAAGTAAAAAAAAGGACACCTATGACAAGAAGGGCCCCCTCTGCCACATCCCACGGAGCGCTCTCTTCCCGCCTGGAAGGCCAAGAGCGGCTGCGCGGGTTCCGCTCCATTCCCAGACCCTCGTCAGACATCTCCTCCAAATCCGCCTGGGCCCGAGGCTCACACGGAAAAGACCGGTCAAAAAAACCGAGCGCCGCTTAGCCACCCACCAAAATTGGCCAAGGTTGCCACTGAGATTCGACCGAATTGAAAAACTCTGATTGTTAGAACTGAAAAGCGATTGGCAAATGGGAAACCCGTTGATTCAAATGCCTGCGACTCGCATGAACAACATCATATGCGTCAAAACATCCGCCGAAAGCAAGCTCTACTCAGATTTGAGCTTACTAATCATGCTCAAACAAATGAAAAAGGTACTGTAAGGCTGTAAGGACCCCAGCATTAAATGCATGACACGAGGGAACACGCACACTCTCGATCAACCATTCAAGCACCAATGGCATCCCCTTCCTCATTGAGATCCACTCGCATCAGCTTGCTCCACTCATCCATCGTGCAATGTGTCGCCCCAAGTGAACCACCCTCGAAAAAAAGTAACTTTGACCCCTCAGCATGCTTGCTTTAAAGGACCTTAAATCTGAAAGCAACACAGGGAGGAAAACCTCGAATGGCGAGCTTCAGGACATGGCAAGTTTAGGCTCTCTTCGTGTTCTCTCCAAATCAAAAGTAGACCAGTAGTATGGTTGGTGACTCACGTGAATTGGGACCAGCATGGGAAAACGATGCTGTTTCTCTGGGGGCCAAAAAATATGCGTGCATCACAAGGAACTTGGGAAAGCTAGTCGTGCCTTCCATAAACGATTGAAATTCACATATGTGTTTCACTCACTCTCCCCCATGGCTGACTTCACAAAAACCAGCCCCCACCTGGGGCACGTAATCTCCGAACTGGCGAGCCATTGCGATCGGGATAGGCGCAAGGTTTCGGGCAGCTGTTGCACTTGCCTGGGCAGAAGTCCGCGGTCCGCACACAGCGACACTCAAAGGGTTGTGTTGATGTCGAAGGGCGGACTGGGGTCGACATGTTTTCCAAAAACGTGGAAGTGGACAAGGGTAGTACTGTTGACCCTTCACTTAATCAGAACATTTTCCTGAAAGACAAGAATCCCCAATAAGAGAGCCCCCTGATCAACAATTTGGGAAGAGTACTCTAAAGCACGTTTCAACATTAGTGTCAAAGTCGGAGACCCCCCCCAAAGAAAAAAAACTCACTTCCTGACTGAATTGGCCAGAAAAAGTTCAAATTTGCTATCTACCACCAAACTGGTCTTCCCAAAATGTTCCCCATTCACAAAACAACAAAACATGGACCTGCTGTTTGAAAGAAAAAAACGACGGTCGGAGAACATGCCTTCAAAAGCCACATCCTCGTGGCGTAGTGCATCTTGCTTCATTCTGATTGCCAACCAAAAGACACATACCCATTTGAAATATGGCAATTTTGTGTTTCTTTGGTTCCTTGCTTGGGGCTACGTTAACAGGCAATCAACAGGACGACACCAATCATGTTAGGGGCTCTACCAGTTGTCGTCTCAGCGATCTGAAAGTCGCTTCACGCGACACATGCAGCGCGAGTGGCAGAAACGCAAACAGACGTGTTGCAGTTGCGCCCGAGGACGCTGCAAACATGTTCACTTTGCGGCATATTAAGCAAATATAGTGGCAAACTATCGGAACCAGACACGGCAAATCAGGTTCAAGAAGTTTTTGCCGGACAGCGTTGGTGTTGGAGGTTTCGGAGGTTTCTTTAGAATACCTTGCAAACGTCTCTTCTTTGGACTTGTCTACGGCAGCAATTACTTTCCTCTAACCTGAAAGAGACACCTCGGTCCTCTGAAAGAGCATTCAGAGGCTACAAAAACCGGCGGGGCAGGTCTGCGGGCAAAGCCAGTGTTGCCAGCAGTGGAAAGTCCGACCAGAAAGCTCAAACAGGCTCAGGTGTTCTCGCAACAGGTGCCTGGCTTGCCTCAAAAAGAAGAGCTTGCAAGTGGGAAGGCAGGCGCAGCGCCGGTTTTGCTGTGACCAGTTGAAGGACTTGAAGGAAAAAAAGGCGGCAGCAAAGAAAGTGCGTGACGCCAAGAACAAGAAGAACGCAGTTGCAAGAGGAAAGGCTTGTGTGTGGGGTCAGTTCCTGGTCTGTGCCGCCACCGCTGCCAGAGACCGGCTTGTTGGTCCAAAGAAGCACGTTTGGTTAGAAGAAGCCTTCAGGTCTTTTGTGACCGGCCGAAGCCGCGGGAAGCTTGGACTCTCTGTTTAGAGGCCATTCCCCAAACAGATTCTATTGCACCTGGGAGGGTTCTGACACTCGTCCGTCCAGGAAACGACCTCGTCCTGCGAAGGATTTGAAATCTAAAATGCTGCGTGCGGGTGTGTGGCTGCAACAAAACGACCCCTAGATATGCTTGCAATTTGCCTCCAAGTTGCATTTCAGCAAGCCGAGCTTTGCAGGGCTAAGAAAAAAAGGGAAAAAAAGAAAAACAAGGGGTCCCCAAAATAGGGGGCCCGAAACAAAAGGGATAGAATCCTGTTCACTGCTTCAAGCCAAGAGGGGACCAGTAATAAAAAGGGGGGAGGAACTCACAACTCGATCGGCCGAATCGCCCTGCTCCTTTTTATTTGGTGTTGCTCAGAAGTCCAGGCTCGAGGATGCAGGAGGGACGACAATGCGTGTCCATCCCCTGTCCTGCATCCCTCTGCGTGCGGAGCCTGCACATATACCCCCAAGGTAACAACGCGTGTTCAACCTGTTCACAGGGTGTGTTACCCAGGGGTGTGAAACATAACTGGAGGGGGGTTCAAGCAGCAATGCGTGCAGCTTGTGTGCGAAAAAATGAGGATTGCGTCCTCAAAGGATAAGACCCACGACTGGTCCTGTAATGTTGTGTCTCACACGAAGCAACGCGTGCTCCATGCGAGATACTGAGGAATGCGTCCTCACGCGTCGGACTGAGTCCGGAAAAACATGCCGGAGGAATGCGTCCTCGCATTTGCTCTGGCGCGAAAAACCACACGCAGCGGAAAGTGCAAGCTGGCACCGTGTGCTGATGGAATGGGACCTAATGAGCCTCACTTTTCGGACTGCAGCACATGCCGGCAAAAAGACCACACTTAGCCCAAAACGTGCATGCTGGCACAATGTGCAGATGCAATGCAAGTCCTATTGAGTTAGATAGATCACGAAGCAACAACTGCTGAGGAACGCGTCCTCTCTGTCTTGCGGAGTCCGAAAGGACAGGCTGGAAGAACGCGTCCTCGCAGTGTCCTGGCTGCCACGCTGGCACAATATGCGGCTGCAATGCCATGCCTATCAAGGCTGCCAGCCTTGTTCGCCAAGGTGAATTATCTGAGTACTGACAGGGTGGGTGGAGCGGAAGAGGGATCGAACCCTCTAAACCGGTCCCTCAAAAAAGGCTTGAAGCAAAGGCGGCCACGCGGCTGAAGATTCGCCCCAAGCGATAGAATCCTGTTCACTGCTTCAAGCCAAGAGGGGGGCCAGGAATAAAAAAGGGGGAGGAACTCACAACTCGATCGGCCGAATCGCCCTGCTGCGTTGCTCAGAAGTCCAGGCTCGAGGATGCAGGAGGGACGACAATGCGTGTCCATCCCCTGTCCTGCATCCCTCTGCACAGCCTGCACATATACCCCCACTTTAGCGTTCTGAGCAACCGGTCCAACACTCGCCCTCTCAATAGTGCGGTTGCGAGACTGCCCTATGCTCTGGGCAAAGTTTAAGCGGACTTGCGCGGCCAGAAATCGCGTGCGAAGCGCACTCTGGACTGCGGCTTATTTTGAAAGGCTGCCAAATTGCCCCTGCTGAGCTGGCCTGCCCAGACGGTATGCTCTCCGGGATGTGGGAGGCGATCGCCGACCATTTATGTTTGTGAGCCCAGGCTGCAACTGATTGCACAAAGAGTTGCAGGGGCCATGCGGCGGTGAACATTTTTTCACTCCCGCCTCGGAGGCTGTGTTATCGCCGGTCGGGATGCAAACGCTGCGGCATGTCTGCCCCTCGGCAGCCCAGGCGATGCGCATGAGCGCGAGTTGGGCGAGGGCCTCAAAGCATGCAATGTACCGCTGTGCTTTTTTGGAGAAGCAAGGCCACTGTGTCTGGACTCTGTGAAGTCCCGCGTTTCTGCGAACAAGGAATCGCAATGTCAACCTTGCAGGAGCCGCTCACGCGTAACACAGGCTCCGCCAGCAAATGGAAACGAACAGAGCTTGCCTCGCTGGCCTGCGCGGCTCTGCCCCCACATCTGAAACTCCGGCCCCACACGGACCTGACAGCCTTGGGATTCCCCATCAAAGGTCCAATCCTTGCCAAGATTCTCTTGACTGGGGCTCCGCACATGGCCTGAATTCCATGTCTCCCAAATCTTCACTTCAGTTCATCCTCAGGGGGTGTTTGTTGCAGATGGGAGAGGAAGCGTGAAACCGGCTCCGGCTTCCTTGAAAACAATGCATTGCACGTTGTCGAGGCCCTGTTTGTTGGTGGCCGGAAAGAGAAACCTGCTCGCACCGGAAACCCAGCGGCAAAGGCATCGGCGGTGCGCTGAGATCTGGGCGACACAGCATTACGCCTGGTCAGTTCTTGCACCACGGCGCAAGGTGTATCTTCGAATGCGAAATAAGCAAAAATCTTCCACGGCGATGCGAGCAGTCCCTTTTGGCTGCTTGGAACTTGTGGCTTCAGTCTTGGATTTGTCTTGTGGCCCAGGCCCGTCAAGGGGTTGGTCGGTCAACTGAACGTCGTGCTGCTTGGCTAGTGCCCTGATTTTTTCGGTGCTAGACTGATTGGCATCTTCAGCGAAAATGAGAGAAACTTGTCGTCAAGCAACGCCTGGGCCAGCCGAGCCTTGACGTGGTGGCGCCCTTTGGCAGCACCTCCCAGAAGGCCTGTTCCACGAATGCGAATGACTTTACAGGCAAAAGCAGCAGCCTTGTCTATTTTGCATTGCGTCGATGCACACAGCAAGTTGGTAACAACTGTATCTGGGGAGCACTCATGCAATAACCTGGATCCTGACTCATCGCAAATCCAAAGGGTGACTTTGCAAGGACGGTTTCGAGTTCCTGCACTCACATCATGAAAATGCATGTCGCTGATGGCAAAGCTTGGCTTCCAGGATGGCACACACACGCATGTTGCAGCATGCTGCACGCTGTCATGAACGTTTCCACTTGATGCAGAGTGATTGTTCATGCGGCTGGTCCGATTCAGGCACAGGTGTGCGAAGCAGAGGAGGTGGGCAATCAAGAAAACGGTGGCCCCTGTCCAGAGGTGTGGGCCGCATCTCCTTCCAGGGCTGTGCGCCAATTGTCCTCTACCTGGGTAGGTGCAAGGGAAGCATCAAGGGGCCGCACATGTGAAATGCGAACGTCACCTAACATTTCCCTGGTACCAGGTGGCAACTCCTCGGGAACATAGAATTGTGAACGCGGAATGCGGTGGGTTCTGGTCAAGGTGAAGTTCATGCCACGCCCATGCGGCGTGGAAATGACCCATGCGTCTCTCAACTGATCCTCGCTCTCGTTGCTGCAGGGGGAGCACAACGTTCACATCGCACTTGCCGGCACAGGCTAGCTGTGAGATTGCAACATGTGGCATCACCTGTCTGGCATTATACCTGGTGCCCTTAAGCAGCTTGAGTCTCTCAAAAATACTTACCAAAGGAACCCTGAGCGCAAGCTCCTTTTCAGCACACGGGGTAGAGCATCAAAGGTAAGGAAAGGTCCTTCCTAGAGAAAGGGGGGGGACCCCCAAAAGGAGAAAAGGGTTCACACCCGGAAAGAGGGGGTCCCCCAAGAAGGCCACAGGGGGTGAGGGCAGGCAAGCGCCCCCCCCCGAACCTAGACTGAAAGGTAAGCATGGTGTCCAGTCCAACCTGGGTGGGTGGGCGGGAGAAAATCTAAGGCCCTGAAATTGGAAGGAAAGGAAAGGTTTGAGCCT